TGAAACCACTTCCTCTTGTCACATACCTTCATAATTCATTGTTCTCCTAATCCAGTGCATTTTTACTTTCAGGCATCATGCAAAAATCTAGAAAAATGTCTTGCATATTATCTGTGGGTCCTCATTATGTAGGCTATAGTCAAATTGTATCTTTGCCTAAAGCTCTATTACTTGCCTGCCTGATGTATTAAATAATGTCTTATTTTGTATAAAATATTCCTCATTTCGTTCAAATACTTAAGTTTGTGAACTCAAAAAAAAAAAAATAAAACAACCAAAAAAACCCCAGATACTTGTGTAAAGCAAATGAATAAGTTTCATGAGCACAGCTGAGTGCAATTTATCTTTCCATTAGAGGATACTTGTTGGAATGTGTTTGTAATCTTTGTTCAGCTCTACATACTGATGTTAAGCACGGTGTTTTGCCTTCAGACACCTTGCTATTTCCAGAACATTATGCGGTAGAGAGGTCAATGAGGGGATTATATGGGGAGATCTTATCAGTACTAGCACACACTAATGAAAGTGAGACGAAGAGTGATTGTGGAGACTAACCAACTGTGTAGATAGCAAATTGTGGATTTCTCAGCTTTATGGAGTATTTGATATGGTCAAGGAAGTGAAATGTTGCTTGAAGCATTTGGAGCAATTTGTGAAGATCTGGGATGTGTGCAATATTCACAGCTACCTTTGCCAGTTAGTGACAATGTCTTGCATCAAAACAGGCAAGAATTGCTCAGATTTGAAAGTTGCAGGTTAGAATTAGGGGATGAGCTTTAGCTAGTGCAAAATTATCTCATTGGCAAAACTAGTACATCAAAGGGAAACACAGGTCTAAGGAGAAAGCATACTGTCAAAGTTTCTGCGAAGAATCTGGGCAAAGTCAGAGCACATGGGTATGTTTTTGGATGAAAGCTATAACATAGTGGCCATAATTTTAACCATTTGTTAAAATGTATTTGTCTCCATTTTACAGATGTAAAGCTGAGGTACAGCAATAGTAAGGCTACAAAAGAGGTGCTGGGTTTTGGCATGCAATTTCAGTTGATAGTAACCTAGATTTTAAGGTATCCCTGCAGCAAAATCTAGGCTCAAAGCACGTATTTCCATGCATTACATCTTTGCAAGTCGAATGCAAACCATTAAATTAGAAGCTCTTAACTGGTGTCCAGATTATTTTAAAAGGTTGGTTAAAGCAGTCACCTTGCAAATTGCTGGGAGTCTGGCACACCCAGGGCCTTCAATCAGGCTTCATATGGTCCCTTTTGTTAGAGAACTGTCAACTTCTTTCAATGAAGATAGAAGGCATCTTCCCTTAATGCTAAATTCAGATTCATCCCTAAAGCAGACCTCTTACAAGCACTAAATTAAGCATTTTTAGAGAAAAAAAAAAATATGTTATTGTTTTAACAAACACTGTGATGTTATATGCATTTGCAATGAGTGCAGTGACTACTGGGCTGTTTGCTTGTTCTCTGCTGATTTGAACCCAAACAAAGCAGAATGAGCTGAGCTTCTGAAAATAAAAATCTGTCAGGTACATGCAAGCAATGATTTTGAAGACACTTATGAATTATCCAGATTTAAGAAGATTTCTCTTAGAAATAGCAAAATTCATATCCTTAATGCAAATATTATGTCTTGCTGAATATCAAGATTCTTTTCCAGATCCTCTTGGGATCCAGGGGTTTGTCAAAGGAAAAGTTTCCAGAACTTGTCAAAACAATGCATATTTCTCTTAGTTTCAGTCTCCCAGATAGGTGAACACCATTTGCTGATATTTTCTCTTAAATCAGCCTAAGTCTGACACCAAGAAAAAGACAGAAAATTCTGTCAACATTATAAGTAGTTAAAATGTGTTTTTTAACAGCAGAGTAGTGTAGTGCCTTAATGAGCAGCAGTGCTAATCTGACCTGCTATAGACTCTGTAGAATGTGTGAAAAAGAGAAAAGTAAATGAAAAATAAAATAAAAAATGAAAGATGAATCTCAGCCAGTGTACTAAAATATAAATGAACATTATTTTAATGAAGGGTAGAAGGAACAAGAGCTAAAATTAGTTTGCTGCAGACTCCCAGAAATGGATTTTCAATCTCAAAGTGATGCACAATAATTTTATCAGATAGTTTTGTCATGACTTTACTAGTTTAAAGGATACATTAATATGAATAATCAAGAATTTTTTTACAAATTATAAGCAAGGTGTTTTCAATATCAAAATATACTTTCTGATAGCAGTTCTACTATCTAGTTTTGGGAAAGACGTCTGTAAAAGTAGAAACAGTAAATACTGAAATACAAAAACTCAGCTGCATGACCAAGTTAAAACAACTCTGGATAATACATTAAAATATGTAAAAACAACAGTCTTCATTGCCAAAGGGGTAGCTGTTATTGTCTGTTCTGTTGGAATTTATGGGGTTTTACTATGTCTTTTCAAAAGGCTGGTATAAAACATTGTGTCAAGTAGGCATCAGTTTCTGGCACAGTCCTTAGAATATGCCAGAAAGAAAGTGGGTTCCAATATTCCTGTTTTTTTAGCCATACTGAATATTGTCAGAAATTTTGGTGTATGAAAGCCCCCAAATTTATAAAGCATCTCAAGCACATATCATAAGAGGAAAAAAAAAAAAATCCAGGCAAATAGGGTGATGATTCTGAAAGGTCAGTAGTAGAGATGTCAGAATGATCTTCTATACAACTTGCAAGATGGCCATGAGTGTTCCGCAAACCCACTAATAATCCACTGGTGAGTGAGGTGTGCTGAGTGTGAAACACCACAGAGAAGCCATAAAAGAACACATTATCACAGTAATATTTACCTGAAAACTTTGGCTGTTGAGAACATAGTTAAATTTTGTGAATCAGCTGAACTATTTCAGGATTTATAAAATGTAAATTCTCTTACAGAGAAAAATGAGCACAAAATTAAGTATGAAAAATTAAAATAGAGCATAATAACAAAGGGACATGGGGAAAGAGGATAAAATTTTATCCCCAGGGTCTTAGGTAGACTCAGAAAACTAATGGTCAAATATTATTTGACATGAATGTCATATGTTAAAAGCTCATGTTCCTTCTGGAAGTATCTAATATATATCTTTTTGGATTTGGTTTATTTTTTTTTCTCTTTTTTAAAGAGCAGCTTTTAATGAGGTAATACTACCTTTTCTACAACTTAATCACATTTATATTGTTTATATTTTTATCCAACCCTATGGTTCTCAGTCTTAACATTGTTCTAAAGGTATATTCCCATGTGGTACACAGAGTTTTATTATAATGGCTTTTCGTCATCAGTGAAATTATGCATCACATTAGAAGTGAAAAACACAGAAGACCTAAATGACTAGTGCTTCAGAGATGGTTCTTAGATGGATGTGGACAGACTATTATGTATGACATTATAATTTCATTATTAAATCATTCATGTGTTTATCACCTGGAAATGTAGCAGAAGACATATTTATTTGTAGTCGTTGTACCCAGTGGTGGAAAGTGGAGCACTGTAATAAACTCTTGCCCTCTGAAATATGTTTATCTTGTCACTGAGCTGGCTTACTAATGTGATTTTCTACCTTTTACAAAAGAAAGGTAATGCTTGCAGCAGTTGCTATGATACAAGACTAGCACACATTTTGTTCCATGCAGCTCCCTGTCACTGCTGCTGTCTCCCAAAACTCCAAATGTAAAATAAGGACTCTCAGTTATTTTTCTTGTTTGCTCTTAATGACTAGTGCCAATAGTACTGAGCTTTAATTTAATTAGGGGATTGAATTGCATTTTTTTTCTAAAAATCATCTTATCAATCTACAGCAAAACAAGGACTAAATGCACTGTCATATATTGGGGACTTTATCAGCAGTTGTAAACACCTAGTATTGTCTTGCTAGATGTTACATATCTAGAAGAGGCTTTATCAACCCTCTCCCCTCTAAGAGAGGAAAAGACAAAAAGAGGCACCTTCAGTGGACAGTTTATCCCACAAACCTGAGACATTTTAAGCCAGGATGAATTACCTCCTGGAGGAGGCTACTTTTTTAATACTGGTTGGAGAGGACACCTAGATAACTTAAATGAGATTCCTTTTATATACCTAAAATTTTAAGAGATTAATCCCACTGAAAGTGATAAGTTGATTTTTTTTCAAATTTTTGGCCTGTGAATAATCCAAAACAAGATTAACAGATGGAGATGCAGCAAAATACTGGAAGTATAATGCTGTATATAGCAATAAAATAAAAGTAAAAATGTAATGCCATAGAGAAGCAATTCTGTAGAGCAAAGTCTGAGAAATACATCTCAACCTCCCTTCCATGAAAAAGGCTTCTGTGAGAGTTGGTAATGACATTTCTGTAAGAGCAGCCTCTCTCTCATTTGCATCCTTTGCCTCAGTCTCCCAAAGCAAAACAGACTGTGTTTTTTCAGAGAAGTATAATGTATTCTCTTTCAACTCCAGTGACTGTATTCTCAGAGATCCCTCTTTTGATGACATTGCACCAGCTAGACAGATGCTGAAGACAAGAAAATAAAACTTTAGAAAATACTGGCTTCTTGCTGACACTGGATTAGTCTGCAGAAAAGATACTCCTTTTAATTTTATGTAGTCTGGCAATTCATCAAGTCTTCTCTAAGATATTAATATTTTTTTTTACTAGTGATATTAGGTAAGCTTAATGGATTTCCCTGCCGGTGTACTGAATGTGATTGCAATTGCAATGAAGCATGAAACAAACTATTTTAATGACTTGTACTTAGGCCTGATGGTAATTTTTTTTAAGGATACCTGCATCTTTCATTAATTGAACAAGCAACCTCTTGACTGCAAGTGGATAATTAATTTAAAAGTCTGAAGAACAATATTCATTGTACCTTAGGAAACATTACTGAAAAGTTTCTGGTAAATCATTTGAAAAATAAGTAATCACATGTATTGATTTTGAGATGCCTTCTGCCTGTTGAGACACAGTATGTAAAGTAGATGTGCTCCTTTCTCTGCAGCTGGGATGACAGCAGCTCAGTTAGCAGTGGCCTCAGTGACACTCTTGACAACCTCAGCACAGATGACTTGAATACCACCTCATCTGTCAGCTCTTATTCCAACATAACAGCCTCTTCAAGGAAGAACACTCATGCCCAGGTAAGTAGCTTTGCTGCCATTTGTTGCAACACCCCCATGCAGGATAGAAAAAGTTTGGTATCAATGCCTCTAAAAAAATTAATATCTTTCAAAATCCTCTATTACACCTGAATGCAGGAAGCCATAGACTCCATTGATCCAGCCTTGAGCTGTGAGCTGACGTTCCAAATTCCCTTCTCCCAGGGCATGCGTCACTGCTGAAGGTGCTGGCTGGATGAGACCCAGCTCTGCCCACTCTGGGGGAGCCCCACTGGTCCCAGCCCCTACTGCACACTAACACAAAACAAATACAATACGATTGGATCTGTGATCATGGATTTCTACTCACTTCAGCTCATTTGGAGTATCTCTTTCAACAGATAACACAATAAAAAATTCACTTTCCGTGTCAAACCACGACACTGGGGAAGAAACATACAGGCTGTACTGTCTTTTCAAATGGCAGAGATTGTCTTCTCCCCACTTAGATCCAGGGATGAAGGTGACAATGCGTAGTGTCAAAATAGAGTTCTTAATATCATACAACACAAACTATATACATCATACATATTTGTGTGTGAATCTGTGTATGTAAAGTTCTTGTGGTGGGTATCCAAGCATTTCTTTCCAGCTCCCCTTAAAATTGCATGTGATAGAGAAGTCAATACAGAACTTGCAGGACTTGGTTCCATCCAAAAAAGAAATAAAACCAGAAAAGTTTGTCTCAATAGGAAAGTATTCTCTGCCATGTCATCTCCTGTTCACTAGCAGGGAACTTTGAGACTGAACACTCAGCACAGGGGAAGAGTGGCTGCCTCCGGCGATTTGATGTCAAGTATGCAGGACACAAGAGTGACACTTCTGATTCCATTTAGACTCCTGCAGGCAGCCAGTGTCTGCAATTCAGAGGTCTGTTTTGTCGATGTAGATTTCAGCAGACTCTGTGAGCAGGAGAAAATACATATTTGTAATTTCCCCCAGACAATAGGGAAATATGGTTACTTTGGGAATGAAAATTACTTTAATCTCCAGCAGGACAGATACCAGACCAATGCTGTATTCATGCAAAGGTAGTCACTGAAATGCCAATGTTCTTCAGCCCTTATTGTCTTTCCCACTCCATCGGGGACTTTCATGGTTGCTAACTGGAGATCAGCCTCTGCCCTTTCACATCAACAATGATGGCCAGTTAGTTCTGGCTTACTTGTTCACTGCGTAGTCATCAGGATTGGGAAAACTCGGGCTGACTTTTTAACTCTTTGTAGTTTTGTATTTTTTTTTCCATTTAGATTATCTCATGTTCTAGCTGCTCTATAATAAGCCTCTGTTTTATTTACAAATTTTTCATCAATAGACAGAAATGCAGTTCATGTTCAAATTGTAATTTCTTTGCAGAGTTTCTTTACATTATGAAAACTAAGAAAATACCTTTGTCAGTTATGCCTTTACCAGGCACATTAAGCAGAATTCACTGTATTCCATGCTAGCTGGCAATCTCAGTCAGAAGTTAGGATGAACAGAATACTCATTTTGCCAGCTATTTTTCAGATCTTAGATACACTGCAAAACAGACTTTATCAGCCTTTTTAAGTGATTGGAGCAGTAAGGACTGAATATAGACTGAGACAGAAATTGTGTATTTTGTTGTTGTTTTCTTATTACAAGACTTATAATGGTGAAGAGAGGCTTTTAGAAAGTATTGTACTACTTTTTTTTTTTTACATTAAGTAGTTTACTTTAAAAATGTATGACTGTATGGTTACAGTCATTCTTTTATGGTAAAATGTCTGTGAGCATGTTATTAAAAGTTACACAGATTGTAACAATAACTTCAATGTAAACTTGCTTTTGAAGGACCCTGCAATATTATTGTAGATATTTTTGCTTGGGCTTTCTTTCCATTAATCCTTACCCATAATCTGTGCTAGCATGTCCAAAGCACATACATAATTATGGAAATGTAGAGAGCTTTTGCCTTTTGTACACCTCAGCTGACAAATATGTAAACAGGAACTGATTATTCTGTCGGTCATGTAATCGGTATTAATCCTCCTCATGGCAGCAGTGCCTAGGAAACAGCCACAGAGGGGTCTGTGTGGGGAAGGAGCTGTGACAGCACAGGATAAGAAATAGCCTGTCCCTCAATGAGATCCATTTTGCAGCCCCTCTTAGGCTGGTGATGCCTGAGAGCAGCACCATATATTTGCTGTTAAAAAGAGGCAGAGGTGAGCAGGAGTGGTGAGAGGGTGATATGCAAATAAGTCTTTAGACTGAGGTCAGGAGGCTGCAGAAAAACACAGAAGGGAGGGTTACACCCAACAGCCTGTCAGCACAAAGAACACCAGTCTTGTCAAACACAGCGAGCAGGGTCAATCTGTTTCTATTTAAGCCACTTTCACAGCTTCTACAGTGTCTTCTTGGACTGCTCCTTCAGCACTCCCTTATCAGCATGCCTCAGGGAAAGCAGATGCCACAGGGGGATTAGATCCTCACTGGTGCATCCTCCACATGGGTCTCAGTTTCAGAGGGAGCATGAGCCCAGCTGGTTGCCTTCACACCATGGATGAGTAGTGCTGGCATAAGACTCTCTTCTAAGCCTCTCTTCTGTTCTGTTGGCTGATACAGATAGAGAGAGTTTCTTGCTGGAAACAATTAATTTCTGTGGAAACAGACCAGTAGAAAATCCATCAGCTGTAGCACAAATATTTTTGGAGAAGATGCTATCCTTGCTCACTGGTGGCACATCGTACTCTGTTCTGCTGAAAAAAATATTCCTAATCCAGTCACTGGAAGCCTTGGGTAGGAAATAACAAGAAGACAGACTGAGATGATTTTAGAAGTATATTCAGGAATTTGCTCACCCAAGCTTTTAGTAAAACCTCTTAGCAGTGATTCGCTTCTGAAATTCAGACTGAATTGAAGAACGTTAGGGTATCACCACTGATTATTAGAGTGAATTACATTTCACTTTATTAGTTTATCTATAAAGGAAGGGGATTAAATATTTTGCAAATAAAAGAAAGAGAAATGTCATCCCCAAATGGCTATATTTTGTATGTTTTTAAACTTTTGGAATCAGGATGCTAATGTTTTAGAAGGAAAGTTTCTGTGGCCCTTGCCACAAATAGACCAAATCCTCCTACCCTACTATGATTTAAGAAATCAGGAAATAACGGAGATGCTGGGACTGACCATTTCTCACGCAAATCTCTTGTAGCTGAAGACAGACTCAGAGAAGCGCTCAGTTACAGACAGTGAAACTTGGGGCAGCACTGAAGAGCTGAAGAAGCCAGAGGAAGACTTTGACAGCAGCGTAGACAGCAGTGGCAAGTGGAAGGGCCTTCCCTCAGGGCTGTCTGAAGAGTCAGAGAAGGGGGGACAGAAAACATCTCTGTCCGTATCACAGACCGGATCTTGGAGGAGAGGCATGACTGCACAAGTAGGAACAACTCAGTCCAGGCACAAAGCAGGAACAAGTGCACTCAAGACCCCAGGTGGGAAATTTTGCTAGTTCAGATTACAGTGGTCTTAAAAAAATTGATGGATGTTAAATATGTATACGTACTATATGCTTATTGTTCTCTACTTCCATAAATGACTGGAAGCTCAGATTGTAATATTATAATAACTTTTTCATTTCTGTAATTGTTAGTTTTCTACATGTATAATAATAATTTGTTAAGTACACATGGGTGCATCTGTAACAAAAACTGTGATTGCATTTTGTTGTGCTATCATCTGTGTATGTCAACATCTGTTAATTCTTAGACGTATTTTTGGACTCATCTGTGCCTTACCCTTATTCTCTAGAAAAACCTACCTTTGATAATTCAATGTATGCAAAGAAATGGCCAAATATTAGAAGCTGAGTCAAAAAGATTTAATATCCAAAGGAGGGAAATCCAAATTATATTTTTAGTTGCTTCTGAACTAAAGTTGGATTATCACATTCCACATACCATGAGTATTTTACAGATCACTATTAAGCAATAAAAAAAAATTTTTTTAAAGTATTTTCACACACTTTTGGTGCTAAATGCCCTCTTATGTAATTTGAAAGACCTCTTAGAAGTAGTAACTGCTTCTGCAATCTAGTTTTGACGCAAAAAATCCAAAGCTGGTGAAAATAGATAACTATTAAAACCATCTAATCCTAATCCATCATTTTACTAAGGAACTGTGTATTCTCAGTGGAAGATTTTCTGGGTCTTTTTCATGGCCTGATAAAACAGTGCATGCTTCCACCCCTGTAAAGGCGACTAGCAAAGATCTCCTCAGAATAAATTCCTACCCTTTGTGAATGCCTTTTGTTTCTTTGTAATTTGGAACTGCCAAACATTGATCAGTCTCTGGTCCATGAGATCCCTGAGGAGCACTGCCATGGTGGATACACTGCCATATGGATACAGGGACTATACCCCTCTAATAGCAATTAGAAGTGGAGATACTAAAAGGTTTGCTGCACAAAGGTTTGCTAAGCTTTCCAGATCTGTTTTGTGATAATGCAGCCACTGTGCAACAAAGAATTGAGGCCTTAACTACTAATGAGCTGTATGTTTGCTGGGTCAGAGTCTGATTGGTATCATGGAATGTGCATTTGTTTGTGTAGCATAAAATAAAATAAAAAACGGGATAAAAACATGAGTGGAATTAGTTCTGCTTTGCAGGTGTTACTCTTTATTACATTTTAGTTTCTTAAGAGAAATTAGGTCATCCACTTCCAAGGCTTCCATAGTTACATCAAGAGTAAACTAAAAAAATTGTTATGTTTTAGGAGTTATTAGTGGTATACAATAGATCCTTAGAGATAAATTAGAATTGAAATGGCAATTTTTATCTATTGTAAAACAATAGATAAAAGAAAGTACTTCCTGGTATAGCAGAACATCTTACTTCATCGTTTCTGCATGTTACAATAAGGTTTTATAAAATATGGAAGAAATTTATAAATATATCTTATATAGTCACAAGCCATCCACAGGACTGAAGAAAACCTCTCAAAAAAACAAAAATCTTGAGAAGCCATCAAGGATACGACAAAGACTAATTAACTTGTGTAATTGGTATTGTTACAAATCAAGACGATTCGTTCTATAACATAATCTCTCCCTAATAATTTTGTGTAACTAAAACCAGAACAAACTTAGTCATACGGTAAAAAGATGTAATCAGTGAAAACCAAAGAACTCTATAACTACTACTTGTTTCTACACTCATAATTGATGTCATATTTCAGGAGATGTTTATTACATGTAATGTTCTATTTTCAAGTATTATTTCTTTCATGTAGAAATATTGTTAACAGAAAAAAAAAAGTCAAAATTCCTTATACTTAATTCAATATAATCTTCTACAACTACATTTTCCACCTATATATGAAAGTTCAGGAAGTTCTCATGGGAATTCCAAGATTTTAATGCTTTAGTCTTACCTGTAATATGTCATACGTGCTACAGATAGCCGATGGGGGACTGAAGACCATACTAGTCTGTTTCTTTAGGGGAATTCTGTTCATGTATTTTTTTTATTTTAAAGTATAATCATACAGTGTTGAAATTCGATATTTAGACATTGCAGTTTAAACACAAGTGACCTTTTCAAATATACTTTTACTTAGGAAAAACCGATGATGCAAAAGCTTCGGAAAAAGTGAAAACTCCCCTGAAAGGAGCCTCCATACAGCGCTCTCCATCAGATGCAGGAAAAAGCAGTGGTGATGAAGGGAAAAAGCCTCCTTCTGGCATTGGGAGATCAACTGCTACAGGGTCATTTGGATTCAAGAAGTCTGGGTTGGGATCTTCTACTATAATCACCACAAGTGGAGCAACCATCACAAGTGGGTCAGCAACGCTAGGAAAAATGCCAAAATCTTCAGCCATCAGTGGGAAGTCCAACGCAGGGAGGAAGACGAGCTTAGACGGTTCCCAAAACCAGGATGACGGTGTCCTGCATGTGAGCTCAAAGACAACTCTGCAGTACCGGAGTCTGCCTCGCCCATCAAAATCCAGCGGCAGTGGGATCCCTGGCCGGGGCGGCCACCGCTCCAGCACCAGCAGCATCGACTCCAACGTGAGCAGCAAGTCTGCGGGTGCTGCTGCCACCAAACTGCGAGAGCCAAGCAAGATCGGGTCCGGGAGGTCCAGCCCTGTCACTGTCAACCAGACGGACAAGGAAAAAGAGAAAGTGGCCGTGTCAGATTCTGAAAGCGTCTCACTGTCCAGCTCCCCTAAATCCAGCCCAACTTCTGCAAGCGCCTCTGGCACACCAGGACTTAGACAGCCAGGATCCAAATACCCAGACATTGCTTCCCCCACATTTCGAAGGTTAGTGCATTTCTATGATTCCCTGAAGTTGCAATATATAAATCAGGGATTTGCAATATGTTGAAGTATTGTGCAAAAAGCCTTTTCAGGGAATATTTTGCCACAAACAAGTCAAGTATAGGAAAATAAAAGGGCAGTATTTTTTTTCATACAACATGATGATTTCTTTGAGATTTGAAGACCTTTCCAGACGTGAAATGGCTGCTCCTTGAGGTTTAAGTATTTTAGGTTCATGCTCATAACCATAGTTGGAAGCTTAGAAGGTAGACTCACTGATCCTTATTGGTCCCTTCCTACTCAATATCTTCTATGATTCTAAGTTCAGCCACATGTGCAGTTTCTTCTCAATACTGTGGTAAACCCCCAGAGGGAAGAAGGACAGGATGTTCAGGCACATTCTCTTAATGGAACCGGCATTGCCATGCCCTGGATGGAGAACTGAAGAGCTCTTTATAAATTGTAAAGATTTAGATTTGCTTTCACATTGTTGGCAGCTCCAGCTACAAACACTTCATTATCTTAGCAGCTTCGTTATATTTTTTGACACAAGCATTGGCAAGGCTGAATTTCAATTGTAAATGCTGAATTGTAATATTTCTGGAAGTATAAATCTGGATGAGTGTGCCATGAATTGGGATTGAGCACTTGCACTGCTGGAGAAAAAGCCAATAGTGCCCTCTTGTGCATACTTACCAAAACAGCATCTCTAGGCAGCTGGGGAGCTGAAGCTTCTTTTTGTGAGCTTGGTAAAATGTAAAACGTATTCTTATGTTATTAGACATACTTACTTTATATAATTATAAATTTTGCATTTATTTACCTTTAATTTATAAGCTGTACATTAACCACAGCTTAAAATATTTCCAGAAATACATTAAAACATCACATGACCTTTTAGTTCAAATTTTAGAGGAGTTGCAGTTTATTTTTTCATCATCACTATAGAATTTTCATATCTAGAATTGCTGGAAGATGTTATGTGACATATAATTTTATCTTTCCTGCCCTTGGAGACAAACTGAGCTCATTTAGCCATGGTGCAGTTTATTCTGTCTGAGTGGTTACTACATGACTGATGACCACATGACCATCTGTGCAAAAAAATGACAAGAGGGGAATTTTGCACAAATACTTAGATGTTTATTAAGTTATGAAGAATTTTGTGTTTGTTGCAATCGTTTAAGCAGTTTTGAGAAGTGAGGAGTTTAAAAGCTAATGACTTGGGAATGCTTAATTACTGAATTTGGGTGAAAGTGTAATCTGTTTATGAACTAATAAGACAAAAACATGATTATTTTACCTCTCTCTGGGAGGGTCTGTGCAAAGAGCACATCTGAATAGGAGTGAACAAGAGCAGTTACTAAAGAAACAAACCGTGATTATTGTGATATGGTTAAGTGAATTTAAATTTGCTCTGCGATTGATCATCTAGGTAGGCGTGATTTTTCATAGCAGTAATTAAAAATGTGTAGTTTGGCTCTTAGGATGTTGCGCCATGAATGTTTAATGCAGCTATCAGTTTCTCTAAAGCTATTTGTTTTACATTTAGGTTGTTTGGTGCCAAGGCAAGTGGTAAAGCTGCCTCTGCACCCAGTACTGAAGGTGTGAAACCCACATCGGCAATGCCCAGCCCTAGTACCACATTGGCACGGCAAGGCAGCCTGGAATCGCCATCCTCGGGCACAGGCAGCATGGGCAGTGCAGGTGGGCAAAGTGGTAGCAGCAGCCCCCTCTTCAGTAAACCTTCGGACTTAAATGCAGATGTTGTAAGCTTAAGTCACTCCCTGGCTTCCAGTCCTGCCTCAGTGCACTCTTTTACATCAGGTGCTCTTGTGTGGGCTGCAAACCTGAGCAGCTCTTCAGCGGGCAGTAAGGACACACCAAGTTACCAGTCCATGACTAGCCTTCACACCAGTTCCGAGTCTATTGACCTCCCTCTTAGCCATCATGGCTCTCTCTCTGGACTGACAACAAGCACTCAGGAGGTTCAGAGCCTGCTCATGAGGACTGGAAGCGTCAGATCTACTCTTTCGGAAAGGTGAGCTTGCCTATAGATATAGTGACCACTAAATAAGTGAGAGGCAAAAGGACAGGAGCCAAAAAAATAAACCCTCCACCTGTTTTGCTAAAGGGACACTGTTTAATTAGCAGCTTAGTCCTTTATGTAAAAAAAGGAAGGAAGAAAAGAGAACTGAAAGGCATTGTAATGTGGAATCAACTGCCTTTTAAGGTTTTACAAGCACTTTTTCTTTCTTGAGAATTTTTTTTAATTCCCTTGTTCTGGAGAGGAAAAGGGGAAAATTGTCTAACTGAAGGCAAGTGTAAACAGCCAAGAGGCACATAATGATTCCTGTAGCAGGATCCACCTCCTGTCCCAACATTTGGCAGTTCCAAAGCAAGCAAACCTCCAGCTGTGGGATCCCCACTTTTCTCTTCCTATTAGCTCAAAGCACAGACAGAGCTGGTGTGTCCTGGTCTTCAGCTGACCAGTCTTGCCTTAAAATACTCAGTCTTAATTACATGGTAAGAATTACACAGATCCTTACTGACATGCAGCTTCACTGGCAGGGAGAGAGTTTACAAGATGAGATCCTTGCTATGGTCAGTCCTGTCAAGTGCTCAGAACAGACCAAGAAATGCAAGAAAATGTTTTTCTGTTTATTCTATTAAAGAGTTTTTTGTTATGCAGGTGTTTAACCAGTTAAATTACATTATAAAAGGTGCAACCAGCCTGGCATAGTGGAACCAAGATTTTTGGGGGTTTTTTTTGGGTTTTGGTGTTGGGTTTTTTGTTTGTTTGTTTGTTTTGTTTGGTTTCTTTCTTTTTATTTTTTTTTTGTGATACATTTATTTGGCTTTTGCAGGAGAGAAGAAAATAATCTTTGCTAGACACTTTCATGCTTCCCATGAAAATTTTCAGGGCTTGACAGTGAAACTCTGATCTCACATGTAGACTGTAAAATCAGTATTAAATATTTCATTAGTCTTTTATTCAAAAACTAAAATTTTACTGAAACTCAGAAATATTTTAAACTTAATTAGTTTTTTAACATCACAAACATTTTAAGGAGAAAAGACCTTTAACAGACAGCATCAAGTTTTTTCGCCCTTTATATAAACTCAGAGATTGTTCATCCTTTGCATAGAAGGAATTCACTTTCAGTAAGCCAGCATTAAAAAAAACCCTCACAATCAAAACCTTGAGAAACCTAGATGGAAACTTGTCATAGATTTCATTTTTTTATGTTACATTTATAAGTATTACTATATCAGCTAAAAATCACACCTCTTACTAATATAATTACAAATTATATTACTATTACATACTAATGTATTACTTTAATAATTATAAAGCATATATATGTACCAATATAACCTACACTAACAATACGTAGTATTGTTAACAATGCAGTAGTTATAAATACACTGATACCTGAGCAATTTGGAGTTTGCACTGTGCCTTTAATTTTTAAATAGGAATTTGAGATTGTGTACTTTGAACTGAATGTGACAATATTTCTTAAAGGTCAGTTATGAATAATAAGCTTAAAAAATCCTTCACTGGCACATATATGAATGGTGAGGTCAATAGAATAATGTGGACGAGTATGAATTCATGCCAAAAATTATACTGATATGCAGGATCTTAAACATCACATTTCAAAAATTAATGCCTTGGCAGAAGTTTCTGAGCAACCCCCACTGCTAATACTTTATGTGTTTGTTCAGTGACTTAATTTCAGTGGTTCCAAATATTTTGCCATTGGCAATATTTTTAAGTTTCAGATTAGTCCATATGGGGATATTACGATTGAGTCCAGAGAGAGCCATTGTTCATGTTTATCTGGCCTCAAAACAAATGTAGGTACCTAGAGTAAATGGTGTAATTTCTTGAATTATAGCCCCAACAGGGTTTTTGCAGTTTGATTTTTCTGAAAGGTTTGATATAAGTGCTGAGTTTCTAAACTCTTTTTATACATTAAACCTTTCATTGTAGCAAAGTATTTTTTCACAACAAAAGCATTGATTTGCAGCGTTGGACACAGATGTTTGGAAGCACATTACGTCCTTTTTTCATTGTAATCTCATATTTGAAATGCTTTTGATTATACTAATTATAGCATGGCATAGCATAAAAAAATTATCTGTAAGAAGATTTTTCTTTTTCTTCAGTCACCCTAGAGCTTGCAAAAGGCTGAATCATCAGTCCTTATAATCAGATGTACTAATAAAATGTAGGGACAAAATCAGAAAGACCAAAGTGCACAGTGAGGTACAACTAGAAAACAACATAAAGTCTATGCAGAGAAAATGCAGGAAAAACTGAAAGAGAGGAGAGAGATAATAACAGATGATATAAAAGAATAAGGATTTATTTCATTGAAGCATTAGCTGTAACTTGATGGATAAGTATCAGTAATGGCAAGCATGCTAAGAGGAAATGAAAAGGTTAAAGATATCTTTGATTTACTGTTCCTGGTGAACTTTTCATTTCACTGTTTCAGACAGAGCCTGAAAGCCCTGCAGTCATTAGAACTGAAGAAAAGTTTTTAAAGGGTCTTTGCTGAGGAAAGAGTGAGGAGGGGAGCTGGGATAGAGGGCGAGGGGATTATGGGAAGGCCAGTTTGCCTAGAAAAATACAGAAGACATTAAACAAAATAGGTTAGGTAATAGATGACATGGGATTAGCCTTTAACAGCCTTTTAAATAATAAAGACCAATTCAATTCATTTGCAGGAAAACATGCTTTCTGAATAGTGGGAAAATAGTAAATGCACTAAAAATCCTGAATTTCCTAAAGCTTTAAGTTCTGTTGCTTTGCTCTCATAAGCAAATGGGGAAAATAAAAATGCTAGTTGGTAAAGAGTTACTGAAGATGAGTGACCAAAGGCTTATAAGTCTGAAGGGCTGGATATATTTGCATAGATACAAAATGGAAAGTAGTGATGCTGTTTTGCAGAACATGTGTACAGAGTTTTAGTGCTGTGCTGGGACAAATCATTTTGAAAATTAAAATATTGCATTTTAGAAAGTAATTATCCCATTATACTTTCTCACATTAAGGCTTTAACGTGAGACTTTGGAATGTCAAGTTTCAGGAAATAACAGCTGGAAAGAACACAGAAAATGAGAGCAAAATCTCAGGGTGCATCTATGTTTTCTGTGAAGGAAAGTAGCCCTTGACTGCCTCCAAAAAAAGTCATCTTTCTTGGAGACAGCAAATCTACAAAGTCTCTGCTATATTTTCCCACCTATCCCTCCAGGAATGATCAGATGTTGCCCACAGTTTTCAGGGTGCCCACTAAGTGATGGTACGGCATCAACGCAGAGTTGCCTGACAGCTCCTGGAGTGAAGTATCAAAGTTTACTCTAGCCAAACTCTGCATCATTGAATGAGATTCTATTGCATTGTAACAACCAGTAAAAGCAAGCAAAATATTTTCTTGTTCAGAAGGAAGGCTGATTTTGCATCTCTCTTAGGCCCTTTGTTGGTTTTGCACATGTTTCGTAGGTTTAGAAATATTTAGAAAAGTCTAATTCTACTGTCATAGCAGTGTAGCTCCCTATATGGGAGGACACTTGTGTTTTGCCTTACAGAAATTTAGAGGGATTAAAATAATCATGCAGGTATTTATACTCTAAAATAAAAACATCTTTTGGGGTTAATAGAAAATATTACTGCTTTGAAAGAATGTTTAGTCTTGAGTGCTATGAAAGTGCATTGAAATCCACTTAAGCCCTTCAAGACTTTCAATTATTTTAAATTATCATAATTGATCGTTGTGGTTTTAAAGTGTGAAACAGTGCATCATGTAGCAGATTTTTTTATATGCCTAGCCTTTGTAAAAACTAATTTGTATGACCCATATCAGCTTGGCCCAGCTGTCATGGAGCTCTCTAGTTGTTTCTTAGCTTGCAGTAACTTGTTTTATTTTCTAGCAGCTCTGTAAGAGTTAGATGTAGCTCAAGGACATACTATTATGGCCCTTTCCCAAGATAACCTCATCACCAAGGGCAGGTAGGAAAATGAGAAAATTAAGGTTTCCTGTAATTTCCCTCATAGAATTTGCAGTTAGTTTCAGCACTGTAAAATAAGCAAAAAAGAATGAGATACAGTGGGTTTGACAATTTCAGCCTATGTCTTAATTCATATTTTTGCAAGATTGCTTTTTCCAGTTTACATAGCAAAGGAAAATATCAGGAATATTATATTCTCATCCTCACTTTATACTGGTCTTTGTCCATATATGCATTGCTTCTTTCAGGAAAGGACTGTCTTTATTATCATTATCAACTTTAGAAATATGAGGTAAATTAAGTTTTATTTACCAAAAGTCCAGTTTCTGTGGAAGCAATGAACCCAGCTTTTGGTGGATGAATGATTTCAGATATTAAAAAGATAAGGGCAGTTATTGGTGTGAAGTAATAGTTACATGAAACCATGCTTAATGGTTTTATACAATTATCTGAAATCTAGGAGCATCTTTGTAAGCTTTCTTATTTTAAAAACACACAAGAGCATTTGGTGCACTCACTTTAATGCAGTTGCAATAACTCCATATTTATGTTTAGGAACATTCATCCCTATTTCATTTGATATCTGAATTCAAAAGAGTTTTGGAAAATGCAATGGTCACTCTTAACCTACTTATATGACTGGCATACCTTTTGACTTGTGGATTGGTTTAAAGGAGCACTGACTCCTTTATTTTTAGATAATGTGCTATAGATTACTTTGAAATACATATATCTCCAAGTTAAAATAATATTGGAAAATACATTGTTCATTTGGACTTTTAAGTGTTTGCATAAGAAACTGATGTTATGATCATGTTTATTCATCTTGAAATTTAGAGGTGCATAAAGGTAAAGAAAGGAATATCAAGGCCCCATTTTTCTCTGTGAAGGAAAAAATAGTGAATCATTCATTCAAATTTATGTTTTCTTTTTGCCAGCCATTCTAGGTCCTGTTATATATGTTGGGGGCAAAATGCTGAAAATACAGTCCTCTGCCTAATATGGGACTACTCTCACATGGACCATGATAACTGGGCCTGTGCTGAAGTACTGCTATTTTTCTCCTTCCATTTGTTTTCTCCAAATGCAGAACAAGGCCCTTTATTAAACTAGTAAAATTGTCTGTGAAATTTTCTGGTGGTAAGAGTAGTTTTTTTCCATTTGCCTAAGCCCTGATAGTAATGCATTGTCCATGCCAACAGTGTTTTCACTGGTTTTATCTACTAGGATCAAGGATTCAGGACATTAGGGCTCCCATCACCCACAGCACAATAGGAAACACCTTTAATAAGGGTATGTCTTGGGTAGCAAGAGCCCTAAGTCACTGCTGCTCTCAGAGGTGTGATTATGATATGTAATACAGAAGCTTTCAAAAGCCATTTTGTCATTTAATACATATGATGACACTAAGCTATGTTCTAAAGGGAGAAAATTTTGCAACACTTATTTGATGATAACTAGTTCAAACCACACTGACCAGAGACCAATTTACCAAGACTTTATGATGAAATGCTGAAATGACACTTGGAAGGAGGGCTAGTGGGTGCTCTTTTAGGGATGTGGTTTAAATTAGGAAACCTGCATGAATATATTTTGGGTGATCAGCCATTCTGACAGTTTGTGTGCAGGGAAATGAAACAACATTACTCTGGTGCCACTTTTCATTGTCCCTACCATCACGTTACTATGTGAGCCCCTCAACAACAAAAAGCCAAGCGTCTGAATCTTTAGGACATATTTCTACACACAGAGCTATCATTTGGCTTCTGGCAAGGCCATGCTGCCTCTTAGCAGGTGCCAGAACCTTCATTTCTTTTGGAAATCTATTGCCTTATCATAGGCAACTGTGAAAAATAAAGATTCATACTGTGACCATATGATTCTCACACAGATTGCAGAGCAAAGCTGTAGAAAGGTTAGACATAGTAAAGAAGCACTTCTTTCTGACCTGGACAGTCTCCAAATTACTATTGACCCAGCCCAGAGCATATCTAGATGAAAAATGAATGTGCAGCAGTCCATGTCCTATTGTTCCTTCCAATGAGTAAAGTATTTATCATGCAAGTTATATTAGAAAGCATTAAATGACCTTCTGTTATGCACACAAACCTAGAGCTTTAAAATTTGTAATTCTGAACAGTCCTGTTTACTGTATGTCCTTAGGGATTTTTTTTGTTTTAACAGCATGCAGCTTGACAGAAATACACTACCCAAAAAGGGATTAAGGTATATATTTTTTTTTTGAGCATGACTGCTGCTTCTCTAATTTCTTGTAACCTTTTCTATACTGCCTTTATTTTTATTTCTCCTTTTGTTGATCCTGTTTCCAACAGAGTTCTTGGAATTTCGATTCAAACCAGAAAATGTAAATTTTAACAATGGACTTTTTCTTTCCATGTCTTGCTAAGGAATAAATCTTCTTTCAAGATATACCATGGAAAGTAAATACTATTAGGGATCATTTCCTTATGCAATGAATCTTAAAAGGCATTGAATTCTGGAGAGCTAAAAGAGACAGAACAAGATATTGGTGCAATTCAATAGGACTAACTATTGAAAACATGGAGAAAAACAAGGTTTTAGAGGTGGATCTGACTTTGGACTCAAGCAAACACTCATGCAATTTGAACTGGAGAGCTATTAAAGGGTAGGGCTAGAAAATATTAATTTTGCTATCCAAGGTTTCTAAGTATAAAATGCATGCTGCTCCATACAGTTTTCTTGGTCCTTGTCCAGCACTACATAGAGTTCAACTTTGCTACTAACTCTTCACTAAATTCTGTCTTCATCACATTCTCTCCTCCCCGGTGAAAAGAGTGGATCATTAGGTAACTTGGCTGGTCTCATGAGACATGGAAGCCCATCTCCCCAGTCCAGGAAAAAGATTTGGCAAGCAAGAATATATGTGCATGCACAGAGACACTGCAGCTTTCCAATAACTGAAATTACACCATTACATCTTATGTGTTATGAATAAATGCTTATGAAATTTTAAGATAATGCTTAACTATTGTCACTATAATGCACCTTCTGAACTTCTGCACTAGCTGTTCCTTAATAAGAATTTAGTCAAGTTTTCCATAATCACAAAACAATCATTTTGGATTTGGAGAGAATGGAAAAGGTGGAAGACATTAAAAGCATAATGGGTGCTCTATGAGAATACAGTGGGATGATCAAAGTTTGTGGATGTTCAGCTGTAATGGTGGCTGAAAGCTGAAAGTGAACTGGAGTGGGGAGAATGCTTATAGGCACATGAGAATGATCAGTTAGCCCAGGAAAAAAATTCTGTTTGATTTAATGTGCAGAGATCCCAGTCCAAAACTTAGATCCTGAATTCTCAATTTACCATCTTTCCAATCTGATAACCACTCAGTAACTTTGTGCTCTACCACAATTACAGGCAAAGATCATAGCTGTATTTTTGAAAGGAGAAAGGAAGTAAATATTTAATAAGGACAAGATGGTTTACTGCTGTAAAATATGGTAGAAAAATGCAAGCACAACACAAGAACTTACATGTTCATTTAATCTTCTGTCTAAGCAGAAACACTTGTGCCTCACAAGCCTGCGGCCAGAATATCAAAATTTCTTTCTGATCTGCTGTTTTGGGGAACACTGATGGCTCTTGACAGTAGTGAAGGTGTTCATTTCTCAGCAGGATAATGTCTAAATGAAGCATTTCATTCAGAATTGCAGACATTGCTGAAAACAAATCTCTTGATTAAGACCCACACTGTCTGCATATTTTGGTGTTTAATCACTAGCAGAATTGCCCTTCTTCCAGCTTAGCCAAGGATGGACCAGTGAGTTACCAGTTCTCCCTCTTGGCCCACTGCACTTGTTTTATTGGTTTACCATAGGAAGCAGTTTATTAACTATTTGATTGCCAGACTTCTTCCTTCCAAAGAACTTGTTTCTGCTAATTGTTTATTTTTCCTGTCCCTTTCCCTCCCCTCAGTTTGGGGCAGGACACAATGTCAGGTAGCATTCAGAGCAGGAGACCATGTGAATATGACCACGAATAGCTGTCATTACCAATGCAAACTCCTTTTTCAGAGTTGTTGATCTGTTTCACTCCTGTCATCTAATCAGTTGTGCACATGATGTGTGACAGATGTCATTTTGTAAGTGGCTACTAACGTTCCTTGGCTTCTATTCTGCTCATTCCCCACCCTAACCATACAGCTTCCAAGCTTTTGCATCAACCTGTACACTTCCTATAGCTTTGAAGTCCTTTTCTGTCAGCTCAGGTGTCTGTCTGCTATGGTTTATCATCCTGTCTCTTCTGTTTTGGGGAGGGGGATGAAGAGTATGGGGGGTTCAAGTCCTGTATGTTTTCGGTGTAACCCAATGGTAAATTTCCCTAGTTAAAATCTCTGGTGATAATCATTTGACTGGACTTGATGTCTTCCTAGGGATTTGTTCTATCTAACTGGTGAAGGGTATTTATGTGACAGCTGTTTCTTTCTAATACATCACCTTGTCATTGTCTTGAGCATGTCAGCTGTGGTTTTTCAGATATACACCATCATCCCGGCAGACAAGTCAGGAGGAAGGCAAAGAATGGCTACGCTCCCACTCAACTGGAGGCCTGCAAGACACTGGCAGTCAGTCCCCACTTGTTTCTCCTTCAGCTATGTCTTCATCTGCAACTGGAAAATATCACTTTTCCAACCTGGGTAAATGCTGTTTCCCTTCACTGTTTCTCCCCCTCAGCAATAGGACCATAAAATTCAGCTGTACATATTTCTTAGTCTGCCATATAAGGTAGTTTATTTTTAACATTTTCATCACCATATTGTTGTACCTCTCTAATGAGAGGAAACTCACAGTGTTGTTAAGGAAGTGGGCCAGGGTACCACCTATTCTGCACAGATTAAAAAAAAGCACAGATTCTTTATGACTTGACAAAGGAGATAAATTTTGCAGGAGAGCTAGAAATTAGCTTCTGGTTCAAAGCTATTAATCTTTTAGGTTTCAAAGTCAGTAGTGTTCTTTCCAATGATTTTAGTGAATGTCAGAAACTAAACATTGCAGTTTTCCTACATATAATTTTGCTTTGAGATAGATCTTTTCAATGTGTTTCAGTAGCTGGACCTGACTATAACTGCGCTGGGCCCAATCCAAACCTAACCTTGAATGCAATATAGTATTTTGGGATGTGAGTGATACTGCAGTTTTATTTGATTACAAACTAAGGTTTAGATTTGGTTCTTCTGAATGTTTTTTCAAATTAATCCAACACAGGTTGTTGTGTGTTTTCTTATAGTATTATTTCTTTCTTGAATTCTGAATAAAACTCACTTATCTCAACTGTACTTGATACATACTTAGGTTCACAATGTCATTACCAATGCAAACTCCTTTTTCAGAGTTGTTGATCTGTTTCACTCCTGTCATCTAATCAGTTGTGCACATGATGTGTGACAGATGTCATTTTGTAAGTGGCTACTAACGTTCCTTGGCTTCTATTCTGCCCATTCCCTATCCTAACCATACACCATGTTATGATGTAGGCCCCTAGTAAGGAATTACTAGCATCCCTTGAAGAATTAAGATTTTTATCTCTCTGTCACAGCTTATGGTATCCATAGGTTCTGATCACTCAAAAGAAATTTGATCAGATATACACATGTTAGTCTTTTCTATATACAGGAAAAGAAGTTGAGCTAAGCTACTTTTAAAAATTAAATTGGATCCTTGCTAAACAAGCCACTGCTTTGAATTTCCCTCCTGTAGTTTTAGACACAGTTTTTCCATGTCACAGTTCTAAGCAGTGTTTTTTCACTATATTATTTTCTGTTTACAATTATCTCATTTTCTTATTGTTCATAGTTCTTGTGAACTCACAATAGAGAGAAATAAGATCATGGGGTTTAACTTTTTTTATTTTGTTGTCCTTTGCTTTATTTCAGTTTTCATAGCCCTGTGGAATCATTTGCTCTCACAACAGAGCTGTTCTGGTAATCTATAACTTAGGACACATCTTGGATGATCTAAAAATCCAAATACTGAGGCTGAATTTGTCTAGACAGCTTTTTCCTCTAGGCATTGAGGTTGTGTGGTCCTGGGGAGCCATAGCCAGGCTTTGCTTTCTACTGGCAAAAGAGTTTTGTGAAACTAAAAGTAGGTTCATCAGTGCTGCTCTTGATTTCAGCCGTGACTGACTACACCTGTTTATTAGGGCGAGGTTCAACTGAGGCCTTTGCACAAATATTTAACCTAATATAGTGGTGGGTGCCCTGAAAATCAAAGGATAAATGTCTTGCATATGCAAATTAACTTTGGCCTTAACAGCAGTCAACAATACAGGTATATAACTATAAAATACAGTTACTGATTTATTAGAAGAGCTGCTTATAAACATATTTATGACCTCTTATTCCTTTTTAACTTTTGAATCTCCCTCATTGATTTTCTGTGGTCTGCCAAAGGATGTTCAGACACCAGTGTTAGTGTTACCATGTGTTTTATAGGATTAATGTCATCCAGCTCCTTTGAGGCCATCTGCTTCACCTTTTTGTTGAAGCTTTAAATGTAGGAATAAAAGCCTTCCATTATCTCAACATCATGAAGTCCACCTAACCGTACTAGTCCTACATTAAAATTTTGTGCAGAAGGAAAAGTCACTTAATGGAAAAGTGCTTCATTAATAAAGCTTTTTATTCCAGTGAGTCCAACCAACCTATCACAGTTTAACCTTCCTGGACCCAGCATGATGCGTTCAAACAGCATCCCTGCACAAGACACTTCTTTTGAGCTCTATGATGACTCCCAGCTGTGTGGCAGTGCTACATCCTTAGAAGAGAGACCACGAGCAATCAGTCATTCAGGTTCATTCAGAGACAGCATGGAAGAAGGTAAGACTGAGTAACTGCTTGGCAAACACGTCCCAGAATCGATGTCCAAAGCATAGTAAAATTTTAAAATATTTCTTCTGCACCCTACACCACAGAAACTTAAATGATTTTGTGAAGCTTTTATTAATCCTGTTGAGTTGGACTCACAAGCTTTCCTTATCCTAAAGCATGCAAGGCATTACTTTCACCTAGTAATAAGCAAAGCTGTATGTATCTCATACATGTGCAAATTCTCTATCAGAAATTTTGGAGAAAAGGAAGCCATTCTTGGAAAATTACTCTTTTTTCCTCTAAATCCAAAATTTCTGAACATATCTTCACTACTGTGTTTCTCCACTTTCTTAGTCCTACTTCTGTGCTTCCTTTTTTTCCCCAAACACCAGTGCTATTTATCATCTCCTTTCTTTTGTAGTCATTTAAACTCCCCACAGCCTCATGCAGCAAACACCATGTGAATTTCTGTATTGAAATTCTGTACTCACTACTTTATGCAGATTATTATTGTCTGCTTTCTTTAATGCTCTCTGCAACATCTGGAACTTGGTGAATATTTTTTGGTTTGGTTTTGGGTTTTGCTCTTTTTCATCCACAGAGAACCTGACAACTCCTAATTAAATGCACTGTAACATTTTCTTCTGACTAACATTTCTGGTAAATCTGATTATTTGCCAAATTCACATGAGTGCAAAGTCCTTAAACACTTTAATTAAACAACTGAAATTCTGTGCAATTTATTCTATAACACTCATCTTGTTTACTGCTAAGTGATGGCAATGTAAATTATCTTTATAATAGGCAAATTAAAAAAGTCTTGCCTTAGCTCCAAAGGTCATAGTTACAAGATTAAAGTGGGGGGGGAAAGTCCTAGATAAAAACAACAGACAAATAATGCTTCTGTTTTTTGATTCCTTTTACTGTATTTTAGATGATGTATCAGGCAGACATCTGGGTATGTAATACTAGCAGTAGGGTGCAGGACAACTCAAGCTGTGAGTTGTCAGCACAGAGAGGATGGCTGACTGCACAGAAGAATATCACATAATTCAAGGACAGAGCTGACTACAGATCCTTTGCTGAGGAACAGAATTATCAAAGGAAACACTGGAAGAATAATAGAGAAAACAAAGCTATTTATTCATAGAAAAAGAGGTGTTAAATGTAGAATTTCAGTAATGGGCCACCAGTGGGTTTGATGAAAGCTTTTTCATTGGTTATGTGTCATATCCAGCTGGAGTGGATAACCTGAGTAAATGAAAGTCAATGCAGCAGTAATAAACAGTTTTCAGCAGTTTACGATCATTAGAGATTAACATGAAATGATGCTGTTAGAAGGTCAAATGTATTTTAAGATAGGAGCTCTGAGGAAGGTTAAAGTGAAACAAGTGAGGTAATACATGGAGCCACTGTATATGAATGCAGAATGACAGTTTAGCTCAGACATTTAAGCCAGAGACTGAAAATAAAACATACTTTGGAAGCCACTCTATTTCAAGGTCAGTGTACCACATTTCTATAAATACAAAACTAGATTTAAAGTCCATTTGGCTAGTCCAGGTATTCTTGTAGTATCTGTTTTTGCAGACAGGTAGCTATAAAAGCAAAACTTTTGTTTTTATCAAACCCTGGCAAATGATAAACATTTAAAAAATTCTTATGAAATAAAAATAAAAAGAGGTAATGAAATAAATTATCTTCTTTGAAATTAACTGTGGGTATTGCCTTCCTCAGGAGAGTCATCAGAAGCAGAAGGGGCAATTTTTTTTACAGTTTTATTTTCATTTGCCATTTCCAGGTAGGCCAGGAACCCCATTTCTTAAAGTGCAGCCCTGCAACATTTCACTCAATGCTCTTGAAGCTGATTCCACCAAGGATTAGGGGAAATAGGTCACTATCCCTCATAGTTACCCTTTCCCATTGACTACAACTCCACAGGTCAGCATTTCTGAGGAAAGCTTGGGAGCTCATCCCATGGAATATGAACTGTTTTCCAAAGCATAGACTCTTACTAAAATCATTTGCTGAGCTTAGGAAAGGGGTTTAAACAGCTCAATTTCTGGTTTCTCTGAAGAGTGTATTTATCAAGTGATTTCTTGTCAAAGCAACAAAAGTGATGCTTGGTTTGCTGATAATTACATAAAATTTCATTCTCTTGCTCACCTGCTCCATATACAGGAAAATGTTTTTCTGTGTAGGACAATCTTTCTAAATGCAGGAAAATCTATCAAAAGCTATTCTATACTGATAGCTTATAATTGCTCTTTGTGGAAAATTGGTTCTCGTTTTAAAAATTCATTTACTTACTGAGATACATGGGGGAGGTTTTATGCTTTTGTCAATATTTCATGTTATTTTCCTTTTCTTAAAGTACATGGGTCCTCATTATCACTTGTCTCCAGCACATCCTCTCTCTACTCTACGGTGAGTATTGATATTTTAGAAAAAAGTTTGTCCTGCCTCTGTTCTTGTTTGTTGTTCATGAAAATTTCAGTACTATGAGATCTAGGAGAATTAGATTTTTACTGCAATAAAGTAGGAATTTTTATTTTCAGCTTTGTACTACTGAATACTATTTTAGAAAACTATTATTTTCACCTTTTTATGTTAATGTCTTATTAATGTTTAAAATCATCCAGTATACATTTTGAAAGCTAAAAAGAAGGTGACAGTCTAAGAGTGTTTCTTTTATGGGGGGTCCTTATGCCATTGTAGTTGACCATTTTGAGTCATTCTACTTACCTTCAGGTAGTGCATAACTTAGAAAATTATTTCTATCCTGGCACTGTTTGAGGTAAACTTTTTGAAAACCACATGACTGCCATATAGTGTAAGGGAGGTGTAATTTGATGTTGAAGTGTCTACTGATTTTTCTTGGAAGTAGCAGCATTTAGATATTATTTACAAAGAAAAGATGATAACTTTCTAAAAGTTTAATCATTGTTACTTAGATTAAGTAGTAGATTAAGTAATATCTGTTTCTATCTCAAGAAGTTTTTCTAGGATAGATTTTTTTCCTCTATTTTGTTATTTTATTGGGTTTTTTGGAATTTATCTTATGGGGATTTTTTATATATAATTTTGCATCATTTATTGCTTCAGTTGTTCTACTAACAAGAAATCATCCATAGAGAGCAGTTGAACACGTTTGGACATTCCCTTGCAGTTTCTTTAAAACATCCTCCTTAACTGTAGTTACATGCTGCAGGAACCCCTTCTCACAGGAGAACAACCCACTTACCTGCTTTCCTCCCACGCATTCGTGAATAGTGTGTATCCTTTCTATATGTCCAGCTGTTGAATAGTGTCAGCTGGTATTCCAGAGATGGACTCATCTACCCAGAGCCAGCACCAGTTCTTGCCTAGGAATACCAAGCTCCTGCAGATCAATGCTTTTGTAGCACATGGTAGCTCTGTCTCAATGCTAAACTCATGTTAGCTTGGAAAGTATGTTGTATTCATGCACCATGGTACCTCTCCTAGCTCTGTTTAATCCTAAAAAAGTTCATACAAGGGCACATCTAAAACATCAAGTGCACAAGCCTTAGGGTTTTACAAGCCTTAAACTGCTTAAGTTGCAAGTCATGCCAGTCCAGACCAGTCCTGAATTATTTGGAAGCAGGAGAGGGGAGGTGAAGGTGGGAGGTGTAGAATGTTTATACAGGCTGGCTACATGTGATGCATGACTTACATTCAGAGTTAAGCTTCTCGCTGATGTTTTGGTGGTTGAAAAAAATCTTTAGAACTATTTCCTTGTTTATGAGACAGGCTATTAGTTTGCATGGGGAAGTGTGTCAAAAACTATAATTCAAACTTTGATGTCAAATTTTAGAAAAATGTCAAAAATTTAGAAGAAACTGATAGATGAAAAAAAATCAAGCTATAAAGTGACACAGGATGCTTTCAGCACCCAGTAAGTGAGTAACTCTGAAATATCTGTGTTCTGATATTGTGTAATGTAGCAAGAATTTACTAATACTTACTATTTATATAACCTTTTATATTTCAATAGAGTATCTTGGAAATATTAACTAAACCCCATGATAGTAAAGAGTGGTATTTTCCCTGCAAAATAAACTTTAAACTGTTTACCCAGGTTCCTACTGTAAAGATCTGCCTGTGAATTCACATTGCATCTGAGCCCCACTCTTTAATTAATAGATTGTGTAGGCAAGATAATGGAAGCTGCGGGAAAATCTGAAAAGGTCCAAAATAGAGATTTTTGATCTGAATTTCTTCTGCTTGAGCCGTCTTTGAAAGCAGTTTAAACTTTTCAGCAATTAATCAAAATATGATGCACAAGTGGAGTAGAAACCTGAAAAGTGTAACACTTAGTATCACACCAGTTGAGTGAAGAGAGCAATGGGATAGCTTCACAGGGTTATCTCAATTAAATGTATTTATTTGATTTCTCAAGCATTGTCTTAAGCTTTCGTGCTAGTGTTTTCTGTGACCTAATCCCTGGAGAAATTCAAAGTACCAAAAGATCAAGACCTTTGTGTATAATTACCAGAGGATAGTTGAAAATCTTCAAGTTATTCTCTGAAGATTGTTTCTCTGAGAATTAGAATATGAGATTCAGAAGAGCCATTTCATTATTTTCTGACATTGAATAAGTCCAACGATGCAGAAGTTCTGCATTCACTACTTTACTACTTTTCTGTATATATTGGCTTTCTTCTTGACTTGTATTTGGGTTTTTGGGACTTAACTTGCATAGATTGGAAGTTTAGCTTGTAGAGATTTGCATGTACAGAGACGTCCATTTTGTTTCACAGAAAAATATACCATGTAAGCAGATGTAGTAAACTGATTCAGTTTTGGAGGTGAATACATTTTGACCTGTGAGTAATTGAAAAAATTATGATAGGTTGTCTCCTGTTTCAATCTCCTCCTGCTCAGTAGGTTGAAACACTTAAATGTTCACATATTTAGTTAATTGCCAATTTTCTGCACTGGCTCTCAGCATTAGCTACACTTTGACTCCCTAGGCTTCATTGATTGTGCTAAGCCATGCTCAGTGGAGTTGTGTAAGGACATGTCATTTGTACCCTAATATTCTAAGACTTCAAACAAAGAAAAAATAATCCTTGCAAGGATGGGATGCATGTATATAATGGAGAAGTAGAGTGAGAAAAAGAATTTTTTGCCTTTTAGAGCCTATTGGAACAATAGCTGAGTCCTGGGTTACAAATGTGTGATGAGCATGAACTTAATTAAAAACTACTGAGATGTATTTGGTTGTCAGATTCTCTTTTTTTTAAGTATGTCCAAAATCCTGGTCTTTTTCATTTGCTTCCTTCACTGCGCACAAAATTTAGCTTGTGAGAGCCACCTCTCTGAACTCGGGGAGAGGCAACACTTCCTTGTGCATTGAGGGAATTTTCTCGTAAGGGCATGTAGCAATGGCTTCATCAACAGGTTTGGTGTTCCAAGGACAAGACCATGTCCCCACATGGCAGTTTTAGGAAAAAGTCACCAACCCTAATTTTTTGCTTTTGTTGTCACAGAAGAAATCATATGGGGACATTGTCAATTCAATCCCTTCGTGACCCTCCATGCATTTAGTATTTGATATAACAATAATGGGAATAGAATATTTTTTTTTTCTAGAGGCAGATCTCTGTTTAGTAAACATTGATCCGAAAGGTAGTATGTCACATCTGTGATGGGAAAAAAATCATTATACTAAATCATCTTCACATAGTGAGGTATTAGAGTATTATTATCAGGTATTAGAGTAGTTTCAGCCAAAAGCATTTCTACATGTTGCCAAGGTGTATATCATAGCATCATAATCTGTTTAGGACCGTTAAATGATAAGCATGTATGGAAAGAGGCATTTTCCAGAAGTATTCTCCCCTTATGCAAGGTAAAGCATTTTCTATTATAAATTTCTATTATAAATCATTAAAATCCTTACAGCCCAAAATTAATGCCTAATACAGGCTCAAAGTCAGCTATACTAATTTGTAATAACACAGAATAAGACAGTCCAATGCCAGAGAACTTATGAACCCTTACCTTGGGTTTTCTTAGTGTTTCTAATGTTATTTACAGGTTAGTTGCTCTACCTACATTTTTCTTCTACTGCTTACTTCTCTTCCAGATAATGTACACTACTTCTCTGAACATGGGCCACTTCGGACCATGGGGTGCATTGATTTCCAGTACATTAACTGGTTCTTTTTTTATATTATGAAAGAGTTCCTTTCTCGTGGCATGTCATTCTTTTCCATCAGAATCCCACTGAAGCAAGATTTATCTGTGCACCAAATGTCTCCTGAATAGGACTGATCCAATGCTTAGAAACTGAATGACTTTCAAGGTTTGCCTTGTAGTGGTATAGTTTCTTAGCTTGTTGAAAAAGGCTGCTGATTAAAAAGTTTCAATATATGACACAATACATTGCAATGTGGACAGTTATTAATTGATAGTTTAATTGAAAACTTCAACATGCCTTGATAGCCCTTAATATTTTTGCTAGTACTCTGTATGGAAGAAATTACATTAAAATGCAAGTTCCCCTCACCTTTACCAATGTATGTTTTACAGGTATGCTGTCAACTTCTTGTATCAGGGATTACTTATTATCATATTAGGAACATGTCTTGGTATGCAGTAAAACAAATATAAATCCAGGAGCCCAAATAATCATTGCAGCATAAACAGTTTTTTTGTGTCAGGCTAATGCCCATGCAGTGAGAGCATAGTCAATTTTTGTTTGTATCTTAGAAATGTAGCTGTAGTTTCTGCAGTTGTGCTCCTACTTCCCTTTCTCTCCATTTCATTTTGTCAAGTACACTGGCATGCTCTTTGGGGTTTCAGCTGGAGCTTTGCCAAGCAAGTTGAAGAGTTCCATTTATTGTTTTTACTGGATATGTTCCTTAAACGTAATGGATGCGTGAAGTTATTCATTTCACTTCAGTGTGGCTGGCTTTTATGTTCTATTACCACAATTATGTTGCACACTGATTCTAAGCCATTTCTCCTTTGTTTTCTTCCAGGCAGAAGAAAAGGCACATTCAGAGGTAAGAACTTTAATTCATTTTTATACTTCTGTATTGCCTTACATTTTTTATATCATATTGTTTACCTGCTTTGGCTAAACTGCACAGTGTGTGGGGAAAGTGTCTTTGCATCACATTTAAGATGTATTGGTGGAAACCTGGTGCAGCTTTTAGTTAACTAGAAGGTGTTTTCTTCGCATTGTGCTGAAGAAAACCTCCTGGCTGTCATTCTGAAAAGATGAAAAGAATCAGTGAGAACTGGGCGTTGAGTAGAGGAGTTGAGATAGGTCTGATTTCAGACTTAATACCACTCTGTGCAGGATCTAAGGGATTATGCAATTTAAAGTAAGGTGCTGCCTTTCAGGAGAAAAATACTTCAAATGATTGCTTTGAACTTCTCTCCCTCACATTTTGAATTATATTAAATTTCTGAAACTGACCACTTTGATGGATTTCAGAGCAATGCAGATTGATTTCAGATATAAATCAAATTTGACATGGAAAATAGTTTCTTTCTCCTCACAGTGTATAAGAATGGGTGACAAGCCTGGGTCAGCAGCTGGATACAATTACAGCCTTTCTCAAAATGAAGTCTTGTTTGTATTAAAAGGGCACCAAAGAGTAGCTGCAATAAAATACACCACCAGAGCTACATGCCTTCCAATTTCTGCATTTATGCTGCCCTTATTTTTACTATTCTCATCAAAGAAAAAGTCAACAAAAAGATATCTTGAGGAAATTGATCAAATAAACATATCTTTCCCTCCTTGCTGCAGTATATTTCAATGTAAATTCATCTAAGCTCACATTTCTGTAAGTTAAAACAAAGGAGCTAAAGAGGCATGCTATAGCTCAGTAGTGTAAATTCCAATTCCTCATTTTATTGCCTTTTATATAGACAATATATATGCTCTTATGGGAGATGTTGAACAGCACTTCATGAGACCTACCTTTGTGAATTTGCAAGAACACGATGAAAGTGTAGCTTAAGCTGGAATGTCAAATAACTGCATTTAAAAAACAAAAAGAAGACTTTGAAAAATAAAAGGGTCAGTTCAGGATGGAGAGCAGCTTGATAATCTGCCCCTGTTGCACTGAGTTAGTGTAAATGACTGAGCAATTTTTGTGTTACAGAAGTACAGGAACATGTTCATGTTGATTGTGCAATATTTCTTGTTGTTTTCATGGGAGTCATAAAACTATAGTACTACAAGCGTCTTTACTAGTTACTGTAAATGTTCCCTTTCCTAGGCTGGTTTTACCCATTTTAATTCTCTAGTCTGGAATAATTTATGTCTGAATATGAAAGGCTCTTCAAAGTGAAACTCCATGCTGTGCTAGATTTCAATACAGTGTCCAGAAGTCCCTGTAAGATCTCAAAAAATTATTTGCATGCTTCATGTTAGGTGTCTACCTCAGCTGAAATAGAAACAGATATTTTTCTCAAGGATTCTATTTTTCACTAAAGAATAAAAGAGTCTTAAATTTATTTTCATGTCAACAAGCACATTTAAAACTACATTTTTTTTTTTAAGTTGGCAAGCAAGGTTTTGTATACTGTATAAGATTTAAAGAGGTTGCATGTTTGAATTTCAGGGACTGTAGAAAGCATGTTTTAGAGAAAAAAAATACTGTCATGTTATGTTAGTCTAATGTAGACATTCAACATATGTTGGTTGCATCATGTCTACAGTCAGGCACAGTGAACGTCACCCAAATGCACTCATGTTTCAAAATCTTAGGCCAGATCTAGCACGGCTCTCCATGATTACACTAAGCATATGTTTGGGACTTGGGGGACTTGGTAAAAACCCATGGCATTTCTCTTGCAAAAAAGGATAATACATACAAATCTATTAAGCATTTGTCCATATGTGCTCCCTTAACTGGAATCCTGGTTCATACACTGGTTAAATGCTAGAAAACAGTTGGGGCGACACTGGGAGACAACCTTTAATAATTTGTAGTTCTGGATAGTTCTGAGATTAAAATCTGAATCTAAGACATCATAAAACTATTGGTTGTCTCTCAAGAAAACTTGTAAAATAACCACAACAAGAACATGGGGGAAATACTGACAGCAGTCTGTTGTTTCTCTAGCAAATTCAGAAGCTACGAAGAGAGTTGGTTGCATCACAGGAGAAAGTTGCTACCCTTACTTCTCAACTTTCAGCAAATGTAAGTATTTTTGCTTGTGATGATAAGTAGTATCAGCAAATACATTATCATACTCTTACTCAACACATAGTCCTGGAGACATTTACTATTTATTTATTTAGGGTTTTTTGGTTTTTTTTTTCCAAGTTAATGAATTTCTATATTGTCTCAGCTTCAAGAAAAAGTAATCTTGTGGAAGTGGAAAGTAGACAGTGGAAATAGAGAGTTTCCATGCTTTAAATATGATAGTCCTATCCTGTTCAGTTTCACCCTTTTCTCAGAATCAATTATAAAAAAATGGCCAAAAGTAAGGAGACACAACCAAAGAAAGGCATGATTTGCATATTCTAATAGAATTCATTAGTGTTTCATTTTACAAAGGCAAACCCTGCAAAATGCAGTCATGTGTGAAGGGAAGCACAGTGTACAAGTGTATATAGGATTTATATGCTACAAAAGCACTGCTGTTATATAACTAATTAAAACTGGGCTATTTCACAGAGAGCTTCCTGGTGTTCTTTCCAATTGACATATATTGGTAATATGAGTTATGGAATGTGTTATCTGAAAATAATGCCAGATACAGAATGTGAGCTACAATCCTTTCTGGTTGATGTGATTTCAGGTGAAGTTACTGAACAATCTAGTATTGTGATTTTTAAATGCAGTTTAGTCTATAATTATTGTAACTACTGTGAGGGAAATCTGAGATGCAGTTAGAAGAATGTATCATTTTGCAGTTCAAAAAATCACTTTCCTGATATCTTGGGCAGCTGATGGAATGTCTTTCTTTGAAGAGTAGTTGTACTGAATATTTAGATTTATAAATACCTGCTGATTTTAAAGAAATTATTTCATGTTGTGAGAAAATAATCTCTAGCTCTGTGAAATCTGCTTGTTTGTGTGTGACTTCAACATGTGAAAATGTGGAAAAGCTATGCTTAGCACTTTCTTCTCTGTTCAGATGGTTGCAGAGTTCCTGTGGGTATTTGTACATCTGTAACAGTGGAGGTTGCCAGACTCTTCTGAGTATTGGGACTGAACTTGTAAATCAGATGATGTAAGGCATTGTGATGTTTGTAAATTCAAAATCTGGATTCCGGGTTGGATTTTTTTTATTTGAGAATGTATAGCTAGAATAACCAGAGTATCTATATTGGGTATGGGGTTCCTTTATTCACATGTTTTAGACACTGACCTTCATCATTACCGGTTTGGGCAGTTCTTCATTTACCTATCCTGAGAGCAACAAACTAAAACCCACACTGAGAGGGTTTATAGAGGTTAGAAGAGCTCATCTCTATAAACACAAGAGATTTATAGAGGTGAGAAGAGCTAAAATAGCATGCTTTGGGTAGGTGTGTTTGCTGTTGAGTCTGTTGTTCTCTGCAGGAGCACAGGATGGTGATCCCTGGCTGGGCTTGTGATGCAGCACAATCACAGACATGCCCACATCTACTCTGAATGCCCTAGTGTGATCCAGAGCAGTTATCTTGATTCCAACAAGCCCCTGATTTAATGAAAGATGTGTCTGCCCACAGTCAGAAGTTGGACTAGATGATCATTAAAGATCCCTCCCAAACCAAATCCTTTCATGATTCTTTAGAATCATGAAGAGGTGTCATTCCAGTTAAACTAAATTGTTTGCCTTTGGTGGACCTGTGCTCAGTGCCTGTTTCAGGTGATAATTCAGACCCCTGGTACCATGCCTCTTTTTACTCTACAGGTAGAAAACCAGTTTTTCCTTCTCTCCTTCCCCTGGCTCAGAACAGAAAACACCAGCATATTCTTTCTACCTGCTGTGTTGAAAGGGAGAGTTGAAAGATTATTCAGTCTCCATCACTTTTCAGTCAATCCAGAAGCGCTATAGTCTATAATACAGCAAAAAATGCAATAAGGTGCGGATGTCAGAGCATTCTCTGCAGCCGAGGAAATGAAGCCATTTTTTGTTTGTTTGGACAAACTGTGTCCAATCTCTCCTCAGTCTTATTTAGAAGTCCTTCACTATACCTGTGGCCAACATGTCTATTAAATAAATGCCATATGGGATGGTTTCTAATAACATTACTTATTCTAGACAAATTGGCAAAGCCAGCTCCACACTATAATTAGATTTGATCCATAATTCAAAGAAACAGAGTCAAGTTAAATATGGGTATTTTGGCTTGGTTTTCATTCAAACTAAATCAGCTGCATGGGTAGGAAATAAATTTGGGTTGATCTGTATAAATCAAACTGGACTATTGGGAATCTGTTCCTATATACTGCCTCTGGGCTTCTGAACAGCTAGCAAGAATGGTTCTCTACAGATCTAAGTTAAAGACAACATTTTCAATAGGATGGCTAAAAATATATGCATAGACATCTGTTTTTGCTGTCCAGAAGTACCACATTTGGTTAATTTAATTGCTATGTTCTTTTGACTGTTACACACCTTCTAATCCAACTCCATGAAGATATTCTTTAAACTCTAAACCTGTAAGGAACCCTAAGGCTGATCCATTTTGTACATGTGTTTTTAAATTATCTAAGAGAAATCCTTCCTCTTGCCAAATCCTCAATATGTAGAAATTCCTTCAAAATTAAATTTTTTTCAGGAGCACGAAATGTAGAGGCTTCAAAATCCCCAGGCATGAACAAAGTTATATTCACAATGAATACCATCTTTAAAGAAAAGTAGATATTACTGCATATTGGGAGTAAATATTTTTTGGCAGGATGTTCTCATGAGATACATATTTTACAAAACCAAAATATTGAAAAGTATTTCACAATAAACCTGGTGCTGAGTTCATTCTCTGCTGTTTCTGGTACAGAACTTGTAAAGTATTAAAACTTCCACACAAATCTAAATAATGTCAAAAGAGGCTGCTTAAATGTTTTAGCACTTCTTCTGTCAGTCCTCCAAGCACTTTATGAGAAGAAAGTCTACAAAGTATCTCTTAAATATCAGAAATAAAATCCAGTTTGAAAGCAGAGAGTATATTCAACTATTTAATTGTGATAGAACCACTGAAATTTAGTCTACTTACAAATTGAAGTCTAAGTGCCAGATATTAAGTACTTTTCATAAAAATTCAGAGTTTTTAGCAACTGATTTAACTTGGTAATCCTATGGAAACTCTAGATGGCTTTCAAGATTTCATAAACTTGTACTGCTTTAGCAGTACGTTCCTTTCATGTATCTATTTATCATTTATTTTGTAGTCTAAGAGACATATTTCACCAGTCACTGCCTTTTAAAGGAGAAATATTCCTAATCACAAAATCTGGAATTTATTCTCAGAGAAGAAGTCAAATCTCTACATGGATTATACTACTGTGACCCTCCTTTTGAGTCATACTTTCTTGTCAGTAAGGCTGAAACTTGAACAAACATTGAGTTTAATTCAGGAAAGTTTGATCACCGCCTATCTTCTCTGTCAAGACATCCACCTCTGGCCAACAGGGAGCTGTATAAACTGAGTAGCTTTCATGGTGCCTTTGCTAACCAGAAAGATGCTCAGCCCTTTCTGATGCTTTTGCCACAAATGCATTCATTTTAGCATTAGTCCTCGGTGTTAATCCTAAGCCCCTCCTAATTTCCATACCTTCACTGAAAGCAGGCGGCACTTAATGCCTTGCTGTGGTCTGGAGAAGGAAACTGATAACAGTCAGAAATCTTGCTCCCTCATAATTCATCTCAATGTGAATTTGTTGTTAGCAAAAAATTCCCTTTGTAGAGCTGAGCAAAAGTATTATACACAAGTGAAGAAAAAGAGCATCTTATTCAGCTCATTTCAACACTATTTTTGCCTTTCTTTGCTTCTCCACAGAGGACTGTTGGTGACATTAGCATATAAGTAATTAAAAATCTGATAGGTTGAAATTTGACCTATTTAATCAAGCCTTTGCTTGATACATTATTTTATACCAAAATCTGTGAATTTGAACTTCTAGCATTTCTCAGGCATTATTGAAAACTCTGCTAAAAATTTTTTTATTTAGTTTGATTTGTTCAGTTTTCGTTGGTTGGACTCAAGTGCTGTGCTTGACTTCAACAGTTTATTTCATTTGATTAACCCCAAAGGGCCAAAGTGCTTTGACTGCATATGATTAAATTCAAGCTGGGTCCAGCTGTCATTTGGATGCTTAATTTGCAGATTTTCTCTGAGATTCTTGCTTTACCCCTGGCATCTGTCGCAGTGTGACTGAAGGGTAAATCTCAATACTAATTCAGAAAGGGCCTGTTTTCCATGAAGAAAATGTCCAACCAGCAAACTCCATATGTGACTGACAAGGGCTCAAATTCCAGTGAGCATCCTGACCCAGCCTGTTCAGAGGGACTTTGATCAGAGCTTTGTACTGTATAAAGCTGAAGGGTGCATGCTTGCAGGCGGTAGTAGAGCCAGGATGCCAGTAGAAAGTGGAGGGGGTTTGCTGGCTAATGCTCTTGTTTGGCCAGCTCTGAACCTCTATCCTACAGCCAAGCAACAAGATGCTAGCAGGCAGCAAACAGAAAAGGTCACCAGATCTGCAGCTGCTGCTTGCAGTCAGCCTGATCTCCTCTGGCCTTTCACACCTCCTCTCATTCAGCCCTGTCAGGTGGGAGGAACTTTATTTATTTACCTTTGTTTTATAAAGCCGAATGCCACAGGTCAAATCCCAAAGTGTGTTGGAAGACAGATGTTTCATATGTGAATGTCATGTTTAGGATGGGCTGTAAACCTGAGAGCTGAGGTATTTGGGGCTTGCCTGGCTGGCATAGTTTGCTAAGGAAATGTTTAAAATCTGTCATCTTAGCACTGAAGACATTCCCTAAGCATACATCTCTTTGACTATTTGCAGTGGGCATTTCACATCTTAATAGAAGTCAAAATTGATTCATACATGAAGGATATCTACAGATTAAGAGCTGAATATCTATGTGTCTAATATGTTTGTCATGTTAATGATGGATCTATTTTGCTGCAGGCATACTTCAAGTAATGCCCAGTTACTTAACTCTTATTCCAGGATGTATTTTTCAGGTATAAATACTGCATTCAATTGTGAAGACACATTTTTACTTTAGAATGAGCATTATATAAAGCACATGTAATATTCAGGCTACTCTTTGAAGTATTGCAATGATGTGTGTATGCCATGAATGAAACTTCCGAATCTAACACAGAGATTTCTAAGGTGTGAGAGACTGGCTGTATCTTAAAAAAAACCAAACAAAACAATTCCTAAATATTTTTACAAAAATGAAATAATGGAAACTTTTAGGTAAATTAATTCATCCTCAGAAACTGAGGATTAGCAAGCCAATAAAGGTAAATTATCAAACTTTTAAGTGTCAAAAAGTTTCTAATTAGAATTTTTAATATCTAGTGAACATTATTAAAGACTCAGATACTTCTTTCTCTTTGCTTTAATTGTTCTATGAATTATTCTGCATTTAACTGTTTAAATGCAAAACCTGATCTCAAAGGGAGCTATATATGCATATGTTTTTTGTATACTTCAAGATACATGTAAGTTTACTGATAATTTAGCCTTTTTTCAAACTAAATGTTCTTATTTTGTTGTATAGTATTTCTGTAGGGAAAATCTGCTTAAGTTTTCCAGTCTGAGTTCCCTAGACAGATGAATGAATATTAGCTACCATGGAGAAAGACAGAACAGTTTATTACTCTGAATATAAAATCAATTCTTCAGTAGAAGAGTGCTGTCTTGTAATAAACATTTAAAGTAATGAACAATGCAATTAAAAAGTTTTCTTCATTAATAGTTTTTGGTCAATGGGACTTTGAATTACATTTCTTTATTATTAGCAAATCAAGATCTTATCATCTTTATTTGAAATGAGTTAGGAAAAATGCATCATCTTAATCCAATTCAATTTATGATGCAAAAAGTTTGGTATAATATTCCAAGAAGGTAATGTTCTCTGTCACTGGCTGAATTTTAGTAAGAACCCTTTTGACATGGCTGCATTTCTCTAAAGGCTGTCAGAAAATAACAGTTTCAGTGACCTTTGATGACATTTTTAATGCTGCTTTTTAGTACTTAATTTTTCCTGTAAGTTCTTTGTTGTCTATTAATGTACAATACAGGATGAAGTTGTAGCTATGGAATAGGAAAATACTTTACACAAGTATGCATAGTTTGGTACCAAAGTACTGTGGTTATTACAGTCTAATTGCTAGAAAAGGACAGAAGCAATGCATAATTAAACAAATTATTCCTCTTTCAAGCCCTTAGTCCCCACCGTAATTCTCAGAGTAAAACAGAACCCTGGGCCATCAGCCGAGCCATAGATTTTTTATGAGGCAGGGAACAGTGAGCTACATTAGTTTCCTCTTAAACAAAAGTAATGAAAAGACTCTGATAGTGTTCTGGGTGGTCTGTGGTCATCATCTTTGGAAATAAAACACCATAGATTGATCTGGATTTTTTAAACATATAGCTAAGTAGTAAAGTTTAAAAAACAGTCATTTTTATTTTCTCAGAGGAATGGAGTAGTAAAAACAAAAAGCTGTAGTATTGATTGACAGGTTGCCAGGTTCATTTTATCAAAGATTTTAACTTCAAGAATGTAGCCTAAGTTATAGATGTTGAAATAGGAATATATACAATTACTAATTAATCTTTAAGAGATGGCATATTTGTCTAGTCTCATGTTGTTCTGGAGTTAGTCCTTGTGGTATGTGTCCTTTACCACAAGAGTTATCCCAAAGGTATCCCTGCAGATGCAGAAAGCAGGTCGATTTACCATTACACTTGTAAGTAATCCAGTGCATCTAAGTATACTAATAGTGTAGTTTACAAGGAGTAAACTTTTCGTAAGTTTAATAAGAATAAAATAAAATGCTTTCAAGATACCTAAATATTTATGGCAATCCAAAATTATTTACAAAACAAAAAAGTCACTCATCAGTATAACAGCTATGAAGCAGAGATGCTGAAGTAGCCCACTCTTATATATATGGTAATCTTCTATTTGAGGGGTAATATACAGAGCAAGGTGGCAAAAAGCTCTTTTCCCTCTCCTAAAATGCGGAACAAAATCCTTTTTGGACCATGTCTTTTCTTGATTATACCTCGTATTCAGTACAACCACATAAATTCAAACTATTTCAACTATGCTTGTAAAAGCATGCAGATCTGCAACTGAAAAATTTACCAGGCACTGTGTATGCCTGAACTGCTATAATAAAAACTAAATTTCCTCACTTAGGAAGCTCAGTTAATCCATTTGTGCATATAAATTCGGGGGACTGGAGTTATATTTCCAAGTGCCAATGTTTGGAGACTTTGTCTATTACCACTTTTGAGATGGTAATGAGAAAATAAGCATTTCCTTATGCTTTTACTTTTTAATATTGGGAGAGAAATGGATGGAATTATATGAACTTCCTTAAAAATTAAATTGTTACTTTCCCTTGGCTGTTCAAACTGGCTTAGCATATTGGGATTTTTATGACCACTTACACTTCTTTGCCATACAAAGCTCAATGCCAGTTAGATCTGATGAAGTATCATTTGTATAAATTTAGCTTGCATAGTGTGGAATAATGGTTGTTAAAAAAAAAAGAAAAAGAAGGTTTATTTTTTAAAACTATTTTTGTCTTTTTCAACTTTATTCCTTCTTATGCTGAGAAATAAGACTTCCAGTTTTCAGGATTTTATTTAATTTTATATATATTTGCACATATTATAAATATTATATTTATATTTTACAAAATATATTTTATACATACACAGACATATATGATCAACATTATAATAATGGACTAAGCAATGACATTTATAAGACTAACTGTGGTATTTTTTGTTTGAAGCCTAGAAGTTTTCTGAAGTGTTTTATTTCTGAAGTTAAAATTTGCTTTTCAAGATAAAGTTATTGAATTCCTGTTTTGAAGTGTCCAGTAATTGAAAATAATTGCTCCTGGACTTTTCTTTGGGAGAAGACTACTTTTGGATAATGTATCAGTAAACTTAAAGCCAGGCATTAAATCCATAATTCATTTCCAGGCAAAGATACCTGGGCTAATCTCACTGGGGGCTAAAGATGCCTGAGGAGCACTGGGTTCATTTGGCTGATTCATCTATCCAACTTACCTCCGTCTGAGTTTGAACTAATATTAAAGAGTTGGAGAAAATGTGCTTGAAGGAAAAACATACTTCTAAAAATCAAATAGATCTGGGAAAATTGCCATATCTTGTTTTTCTTTCATAGGCTCATCTAGTAGCAGCGTTTGAAAAAAGCTTGGGAAATATGACAGGCCGATTGCAAAGTCTAACAATGACAGCTGAACAAAAGGTAGGTTTATCAAAGCAGATGCTTTACTGTAGAAAATAGTCAGAAAATTATGTTAGAGTTTTGTTTAAAAAATACTAAAAGGAAAAAGGGACATCTGTGACAATAAGACAGATTTTTCTTTAATGGTTGCTGCACTTAAATTTTCATTAATGTCCAGCAGCATCTGGAATGCTATACAGCATCAGGTTTACACAGATAGTGTAATAAAATAATTTGAAGATAAAATCTTTCATTTCCAGAATTCAGTTAAAATATGTGACTTCAGGTTTACTCCATACTGAAAGATCTTGTAACAAAAACTTATCATAAACTGCTGCAGTGCTTCATTCTGGCCTCCCAGCACCACCAGAACAATAGAATTTCAGGAAACAGAGAAGTTTAAGTAGAGAAAAATAGCTTAATTGGGAAAGTTAGTGAAGGTTAGGCATCCTATACATAAGTAAAGATTTGGGTTTTCACTTTTTCACTGTGCTGTTTTGTCTAATGAGGGGAAAAAATACTCTAAACATGATACAAAGAAATTTAATGAGTCCTTTTACCAAGCTCAGGATTAAGAGCTGCTTAGCTCCTTCCAGGATTGAACTTCTGCAGCTTTCTACCCATATGAATTTTGAACAATGTCCTATTAATGGAAAGGCCTCCTTGACCCAAAATGTGAAAGAAACTTTATCTGTGAGCTGCTAGTCACCACTGGAGTCTGTATCTGTCTACAAAAATAACATTTCAAAGTCTGGTTGAGCACCAACAGATGAAATGTGTCAAGACTCACTGTGAACTGGATAGAAAATATTTGTATTGCTTGCTTTTGTTTCATCTTATGTGGAGGACAAAAGAAGAGCACAGTCACAATGGAATTTTCTTAAAACCAAAACTTTTAACTATTTTATAAAGTATAATTCCATCAGAATGTTTCCTTTCCAAAAGGAAAGCAGTGACATTGAAACAGATTATCTCCAAGTTTCTTTGCCAAAAGATTTAGAACTTACTCTTTTCCTTCTCTTCTTTTCTCTATTATTGAGTTTAAATTCCTTTAATCCTAATTATATAGCGTTAAACAACCCTAACTTTATAGGAAGGAGACTGGAAGGACAGGGAATAAAAAATAAAATATTGCTTATAAAAGCAATAATAAAATATATTTTTTTAATAAAAATCAGCTGTGCTTTCTAATACAGAACTTCCTGCACTCAAGTGGAGTAATTTTACTTTAACTTGCAGGACAATTTCTATTGAACAGGGGCTTTTTAATTAAATTAGTATTTAACAAATTAAATCTTTTTAATTCATCCATTAAACAGTAGCTTCACATATTAAAGGATGTACTTCAAATGGTTTCATTGTCTTTTTCAATAAAGTCATTGAGCTTTTCTTAATTTTATGTTGAATAGTCGACTGAGACCCTTTTTAGATTACTCCTTATTAAAAATGTTTTCTTCTTAAAAATAGCATAGTTGCTTTATATAGAGTAAATGTACAATACGTTAGTTAACTTCAATATCTTTGGAGAGAAAGTATGTATTCTTTTGATTGTTGCCCTTATGTTCACCCAAACAGTCCCATTATCTTTAATTTTTGAATACTCTTCTCTTGCAATTTTTTCTTTTAGCTTAGACAAACATTGTTCTTTTGCCATTATTTTGATCTCTCTTTGCTCTTCCCACAGGAATCTGAGCTTATAGAGCTAAGGGAAACCATTGAAATGCTGAAAGCCCAGAATTCTGCTGCACAAGCTGCTATTCAAGGAGCCTTGAATGGCCCCGATCATACCCACAAAGGTATGGGTTTGTTATTATCAAAATAAATGCAGACGTTTTCCCGAGGGAAAACAAACAAACAAACAAACCAACCAAAAAACCCAAACAAAAAAAAACCAAACCAAACCAAAACAAAACCAAAAAAACCTAAGTCACTACTTTTCTGTTGTTTGGGAACTCTGTTGCAAGGCAAAGCACATTCTGAAGTGAATGGTAGGCATACTTGTGGTATTTCCAGAGCTGGAAACCTTGCACAAGTTTCCTGTCTGCCAAAGTTCCTGGAGCTTTATCTTCCTAGAGCTGAGTGGCCAGGAATTGATTTGAGAGTTTGATTGAGAGTTAACCATGTCCCTGCAATTGACTAATGAAGTTCCCAGACACAAGGGAAGTCTTATGGTATAACATGGTTATAGCTTGAGAATCCAGTCAAAATTGCAGCTTTGTAAACGGGTGTTTTTTAAGAGGCACACTGACAACAGCTCAGCTCCTTCATGGAGTGCTAAATCAGTGCAGGAAAGCAGATGTCAGATTCCAGATGTCAAATTAATTTGTCATTGCAGTTAGACCGATACTGCATGATAAATATGTACTTCAAAAGTGCCTGCTGATAAGCAACAGCAAAGGAATTACTTGAAAAAAATAATTGTGGTATTAGTTTTTGAGAGTGTTATTGATCTTCCATTAGAGAGGTCATTATTTAGGTTTTTGCCTTAAGGTCTTTTCACTGCATGACTTGAGTGTAGCAAAGTGAATTTCTAGGAAGTAGAAAATAATCTAAAAAGTAATTTCCCTTGGTATTAGTGGGCATGTTCTGCAAGAATAATTTCCAGTGATTAAGATATAGTTATCAGAGAATTTTAAGAAATTGAAACTCAGAAGCTGCACCAACCATTTTTAATACTCTCCATTTCCTGGTTATTTTGTTTCATTCATTTTTAATGAACTCCGGCCTGTTTCTTTCCATCATGATATATTAGAAGGTAGAATCTGAACACTGATTAGGGCTGCTACAAGTTGGCTAGTATCTACACTTCTCAGAACTGTAGTACACGTGGCACTGAAATGTCAAATAATCCATGTGCTCAGTTATGAGGATACACATGCATAGATTACTGTGAAGAGTCATTGCCTTCAGGGCAAGAACAGCTTAGTTTGGAGAAGCCCCTAAGTATTGGATTAATTGTATGCATCCCCCTCAGTCCCTATGTGGTTTCTCACAGGCTTCAATAGCTTGTATCTGAGCCACTGCAAGCATCAGTGCCATTTATGTTCATTTAGACTGCCTTTGAGGAGGCAGATGCTACATAAATATAAGAATTATTATTGTAATATTGAAACAGATTTCACAGTAACTTATTTTCTTTAGATTTACGTATAAGGCGGCAACATTCTTCAGAAAGTGTTTCCAGTATCAATAGTGCTACAAGTCATTCCAGTATTGGCAGTGGTAATGATGCTGATTCCAAAAAAAAGAAAAAGAAAAACTGGGTGAGTACTCATCAGGTTTAAGCCTCTCTTTCAGCTAATGTGTCATTTCCTAGTGTCTGAGTAACAGAATGGTCCATTTCATCTATAATGTTCTTGTGGGGCCAGATGGATATCAAGAAATTAATGTGTGTCCGTACTGTGACACTACCAACAAACTAAAAATTATTGAATATCAGCAGGGTTTTATTTGCATCAGTCAGAGTAATTAAAACAAACAAAATTACAAGCAACAATTACAACAACAAAACAACAACATAAATTTAAAATAGCTGTTATGACTAAAACCACCTCTGGACCACATTGAAACCCTGTTTGATTTTTCTTCAGTTGGACTTCGGTTCAAAAGCTTAACTCAAATATATTACCCAGCTATGGAGGGAGTTGAAATCAGTTAAGAGTTCTCACTTAAAAATACTATGGTGTTTAAAGAAATTAACATGTTGCTCAACCGGAACATGCAAATACCACATACTGTTAGATAGAGTATGTGGTATTAAATTCTTTCAGTAAAGAATCAGAAAATATGTTACTATTGTTTTAAAAATATTCTCTGCATAAACATTTGTTTTAAAATACTGATGAGCCTTCATTCCCTTGATTTGTAATTCCACACTCTTTCATGTTTCTGCAAGGTGAACTCTAGAGGAAGTGAGGTGAATATAAACCATGGAAAAATTGGCATGCATCTATAAAAAACCCTATCTTGGCATGATCGCTATTTATTTTGGCAGTAGGCTTTTATACCTTCTAAAACCAGATTATCCTGTATTTCTTCTCAGTTTGTCTTTATTAAATTTTAAAAGTTTAGGCTATAGAAAGGGGGAGTGTAGCCAAAATCCATTTCTTTCTCTTCAGATATCATAAGCTGGAAAGGACTTAAATATTATTCCTCATTAAGATCAGTGGTCACACTCCCCATTCTCCAATTATACCATGAGAATAATCTGTTTGAATTCCTGTTTTTCATGGAAGAACCAGCTGATCTGTTGTGTTCTGGACAGTTTTGATCACAACAGCCCTCTGAAAATAAAAATAAAACCTGTATTTTTCCTAAGATGGGCAAGTTCTGTATTTAGACAAAGGTATGAAGAAATGAGGTTGTTAATTTTAACTGCAGACAAAACTTTTGTCATCTTGACTTCTGAAATAAATGGCTCTTTGGCTATTCTGTCCCTTTTCAATACTGGATACAAGCTTCTAGAGGGAAAAGGCAATGCTTGTACGTTCAGAGATCTTATCACTCTAAAGGAAACTGCAACAAACAGTATATACCTTTCAGCTAACATTCTTCTCAATAGTACAAGACAAATCTCATGTTCCCACTTAGATCCTCTTGATTGTGATCCAAATCATAGCATTTTTATAGTTTGACCATTCAAAGTTTCAATGGGGAAAATAAATTGGCAAACCCTGTAAATTGGACTTGTCTTTTGATTTCAGCATTTAGTTCTGCCTGTACCGAGATGCTAAGTGGTTATTTAAAGCCACCCTTTGAAGGGAATGCCATGGGAATGGGATTCCACTGGAGCTTAATGGCTTTAAATGAGCACCCCTCCCCAACAGCTCTACCACTCAGTCCTGCACTTTTTCCATAGCATTACTTCTGCACTGCACTGGATTAATAAAGTCAAAACAAAGCACTGTATCATGTTTGTAGAGATACTGTGTTGCATATGTTAATACCTTGCTTCTGCATACTGACCTCAGGCAGTGGCTAGGATGGCATCTTCAAACTAACTCTTCAAAACATGAACTGTACACAAGGTGCTGTGATGAGGAAAATAATCTTGCTCTGTATTTGTTTTCCAGCTAAGAAGCTCTTTCAAACAGGCCTTTGGAAAGAAAAAGTCCACCAAACCTCCTTCCTCACATTCAGACATAGAAGAGCTGACAGATTCCTCCCTTCCTTCCTCACCTAAATTACCGCACAGCTCAGGAGAATGTGCAGCAACATCGATGAAACCATCCCAGTCAGCATCTGCGTAAGTGTCTCTCTCGGCAAATGGCATGAGCTGGGAAGGAGACCTCCTCCAGCATGGCCATTTGCTGTTCAGAAACTATTGTCAACAGCTGTGATCTTTTAATCCTGAGCTCCATCCATTTGCCAGATTTCTCGTGAGCATCACCCTTTACACACTGGTTCTGCAGCAATTCTTTATTCAGTCATAATCTTTCATCCTTCCACAGACTTTACCCAAAATCACCTAGCTTCCACAAATCACCGAACTTCCAAAAGCTTATTTTGTACTCTCCCTACACCATTAGTAATTTTATCGTATCCACTTAGCAAAGGCCAAATGCTAACGTTTCCTTGTTTCCTTTTTTCATGACATTCTAAAAATATAAAATTCTAAAATACATTTTTTAAATTTTTACAATCTACTTATTCCTCCTGTTCTTACTTTACCTACTTTGTAGCTACTGATGTATATATTTTTTAATCTATTTCCCCTCTTTTATCAGCTTGAATTTTTTGTGTGATTTTACTATTATGTTTTATTCAAATCACCACCCTAAAGGTTTCAGGTTGGAGTCAACAGCTGTCCAATTTTTCAGTATTTTTTGAATATCTGATATGTTCTTATAGAAGTCCAAGGTCTTTCTTATTCATATTCCTCTGCTTTTTTTTTTTTTTGCTTTTTTTTTTTTTTTTTTTTTTTTTTTTTTTTTTTTTTTTGGTGTTCTTCTAAACTCATACCTCTTGTTAAGATGGGGAAATCAACCCCTTTGAACCAAAAAATGCCTACTACTGATGCTACCTTTACTTTCCTTCTCCTAATTGAGAATAATCAGGTCACGATTAATTTTTCTCAAGGAATTCTAGTCTCATGACTGTTTTATTAGATAATAAATGGAATATGCATGGAAGTAAAATTTCATTTTTTATTTGCTTGGCATAGGCAGGTATGGACACATCAGAGAAAGAGCTCTAACATATTAGTCGGGAAAAAAAATCCTAGTGTATGACTTTCTTGATCTTTAATCACATTTAAAATATTTGTGCATGTTTTGAATGATATTCATCATTTTTCTTCTTCTATTTGACACGCATTTTATTTGCCATGAATTTCATCTTCCCTTTGCTTATGATTTCTTCATATATTTTCCTGATGGAGTCTCACGTTCTAAACCATTACCTTTACTTTCTTCCAATTGCATCTGTCTAATACATGTGTGTGCAGGTCATCTCTAGTCTGGGCATCAAAGAAAAGGCAAAACGGTCGTGTGGTCTACAAGCATAGATCCCGGTAAAACTGAGTGTGGGGCATGGAGTTGTATACCCAACTGCTGACCTGAAGAGTGCTGCATCTTCTTTCCCAAAATGCATTTGCATGCCTTCTGGCAATTAAGTGCTGACCTTTGTTTCTTTCTTTTTTTTTTTTATATTAGCAGTAATAATCACAATAATAATACTTATTTTCATAAAATACTTTTCATATTGAAATTTTTTCTGAAAATATTAACTATTTATAGTCACAGTAATAAAGAGCAAATAACATTTACTGAATTGACTGGAAATACTGCTTAGTATAAAAATGAAACCAAAGTTCAGGTTTTATTTTCTTCTGGTGGTTCTGATTATGATACAAAGAGGCAAAACAGTCTGACAGGAGAGCTGGACAGTTGTGGGTTCCTAAGCCAGTCAGTTTCAATCTTTTCTTACACTATAATTGTTTCTTCCCTTGAAATAAATGCCACATGATAATCCAGTCTTCAAGGGAAAGAAACAAAAGCCAACACACGATTTCATATATCATACATTACAAAATGACAGGTTATATGCAAAACTTCAGCCATCACAAATTATTACAGATCAAAATCTTCTAGACTATAATTTCAAGGACATTGAATTTGTATAATATTTGTATCAGAGAAAAATATTGATGCCTAACAAATTATAAATATCAGGAGTACAGTTTAATCAGCACACATCAGTTCTGACTACTGTTACATAGAGAAATCATAAACAATCTGATCACTTTTTCTGGAGAGGGCTTTTTTTCCTTTTTTAATTTTCAGTTTGATAGTTTTCATGTATCTTTGATAAGTTTCTTTCTTCACTCATAGGTTTCACCAGCAGCAAGCATTTTTCTGTTCTTTGATATTTAGTAATGACACTGCTTTGGGGAGAGAACCTTCCTTTAATCTCCTGCCTGTTTTCTGCTCCTCTTTAGGATCTGTGAGTGCACAGAGGCAGAGGCTGAAATTATTCTTCAGCTAAAAAGCGAGCTGAGGGAGAAGGAGCTAAAATTAACGGATATTCGTCTGGAAGCCCTCAGCTCTGCACACCATCTGGATCAGATCCGGGAAGCCATGAACCGCATGCAGGTCAGTGCAATAGCTTAAGTGATGACAGAGATGCACACCAAAGGTATGACTGGTATGTTTCCTTTCCCAGGACTTTGTTTCAGGCACCAAAAAACTGTCAATACAAAGTAAATTTTCGGATTGGCAGTATTTTTGAAGGATTCGTATGATAAGTGTTCACCTTATATATAAAAGACATTCTTAGCATCTATATTAATAGCTAAAATGTGTATAAGAGATATGGAAGAAGACATAATCCCTGCCCAAAGGATATTTATTATCTCAAGCCTATAACTGGGGTTAGCAACACAACAGAGAAGCAGATCAAAAAGTGATTTCTACAGCATTTTAAATCCTTGAGCCATGGAGGGGGCCAGGATGTTATGTGTTTACTCTTTCATCATTTCTGATTCCTAACTAAGCAATGGCTTGCAAGGCAAAGAATGTAAAATTGAACTAAGCATAAAATTCTGCTACATTGTTTTGTTACACTGCCCCAGTTCCTTTGTGAACACAGTTTTTCATTAGAAGATTTTCCCTTTCACGAGCCTGGAAGGACGCAAAAAGAATGACAGTGTTCTTCAGTGGAGCACAGAGATTATGGGACTTGATTCTGTTGCCTACGTGCAAATGCTCAGTACCATGGTGGGTGTCCAAAAGTATCTATAATATCCACACAGTGGAACTGGGCCTTTCTGGAATGGCAGCTAAGATACCTATGTCATCCCTGAAAGTACTGTAAATCTGTATTTGGGGAACAGAACCAAAGTCATGGGTTGGGGCTTTAGCCTGAGGCAGAGTAGGCCACATTTAAAAGTCTAGGAATGAGCTGCATGATAAACTTCTCTTGTAGTCAATCAAGTTTTAGTTCTGTAGTAGTGACGGCTAAAGATCTATCCTAAAATTACCACAAGATAGGTACAGAAGGTGGAGTTCCTTGAGCATAGGCGCTTCTTACCATTTGAACCAGCCTCAAGTATTTGCATCTGCACAGGACATGAAGGTTTAGCATTCTTCCATGGAAGACCATATTTGTCATGCCACTGGAAACCCACATTTGCACAGCTGAATCCAGCCTAGTGCCTTGCTGGCTGAATTGCTCTGTGTTGGGTGCTTAGGTCAGGTGCACCTTTAGGTACCTGTATGTAAATGCCTACAGCACTGATTTCATAACTACAGAACTGGTGTGCTTGATGTCTTTTCTACAGACTTTTTTTTTACACAATGCCTGTATCAGTCTCAGCCAGATCTTTAAACATACCTATGGTACCTGCCATCCTCCCAAGTGCTCACACTACTAGGTACCAACCTTAGTGTGGGATATTTGGCTGAACTTCAATTCGATGGAAGACTTACCAAGAACTGGTCAAGAAATATGGTTTCATTTGTGCAGACATAAGTAAAGCATTGATCTCGAGGTACTGAAAGGTTTTGAGGAACTGTGAGGAATAGAATGCAGTTAATTGCAGTGGTGGAGAAAAGGATGTGAAGGCTTATCATCAGATTATAGTCTCATACTGGGAGATGAGTGCCTGAGCCAGGTGTACTCCCCAGAGGGAGGAGTCTGCTGTAGGCACAGTTCTCCAAAGTCTGAACTTCTCAAATCTGGGCAGAGGCAACTAATTGAGATGCTTTTACTGGTAATCACCATTTCTGATGTTCGGCCAAGAGAGCAGGGAGCCACCTTGCAGTTGCCAAACTGTGATATTTTTGAGGATTGATGAGAATTGGTAAGGGAAAAAATAGGACTGGTAGAAGTGATACATGAATACTTTTAGATTCAAAGCACCTTAAAAACCTAAAGCTCAGGTAAATGGAAGACGGCTAAGAGCTATGTAATTAATCAGCATAAATTACAGAGTGGGTCCTGATTTGAACCCTAGATTAAACTGATACACCAGTCTATTACCTTCTGTTGCTGTTATGCTGGTTTGTCCCTTCCCTTTCACTGTCTCCTCACCTGTGTGTATGTGATCTAATCCTTTTGTAGCTGTAGCAGGGTTTTGGGTTTTTTTGGTTTTTTTTTTTTTATGGTGCTATCTATCTGTTATGTTTTTACTTGTATAATATAGCTGGGCAGCCTCTATTTAAAAAGTGAGACTTTTAGTAGGGTGACAATGACTGCAGAAATAAATTTGATGTGCAGAACCATCTGGAAGAATAAGGAGTTGCTTTGTAATGCACTTTGTGAAGTGCCTGGAAGCTAGAGTTAGATGGTACCAGGCTGCTCTCAGGCTAAGTTTTAATTTTATTATTGTACATTCAATAATCACTTTGCACCACAGAGGATTTAGCTAAAAAATTCCAGTTGTTATGATTCACTGTCTGTTTTCATCAGAGAGAATTTTCTCATTGCTATGTAAACATCCTGTGTTTGAATGGTCAAAAAAAATTATTTGATAGCAAGAAGGGTTATGAAACTGTTCAACTATCAATTTCTAATTTTTTATTTAATTTCTTTGTGAAGTTACTGCTTAAATGTTATATTCAATGGCAGTAATAATTTTCTGTGATTTTAGAAACATTGACATATCCAGTAACTTTCTTAACTAGCTGTTACTTTAGGTATTTGACAATAGAAAGTAGCCTAAAAAATGGAGATAGCTGGGAAAATTCTAACCACAGTCAACTGTGGTTAATGAGCACAAAAGCTTGAAGCTGATATTGTTTAGGATCTATCTTGAGGCGAAAGCTAAAACAAGTTTATTGGTGGCTTTCCCTTCATTTAAGAAGTAAAGGCAATCCAGTTTTCACTGTGTTTTATCACTGTTGTGAAAGTGGTAAACCAGTTAACTGGGTCAGGGGAACAGCATCACCAGACTAGCCACCAATGCTGGTTTTCCAAAAGAATAATCTCCTGTGCTTTGGTGTTGTTTTCTTTTCTATATAGAATGAAATAGAGATTCTGAAAGCTGAGAATGATCGCTTAAAGGCAGAGACTGGAAATACCGGAAAGCCTGCCCGGCCACCATCAGAGTCATCAAGCAGCACATCATCTTCTTCATCACGGCAATCACTAGGACTTTCTCTGAACAATTTAAACATCACAGAGTCAGTTGCGTCAGGTAAACATACTTCAGGCACATGCATGCCTCAGGAGTTAGTAAGAATTTTTCAACCCCTTAATAGACCACATAGGAGAAGCATGACTGGAAATTAAAACACCTCATGTCATTCAGGTTAACATCAGATATACATTCAGTAACACAGAAGATGAAAAATGCTGGTGGTCATGTCTGAACTGTAGCTTTTAGAAGCCCCTGAACAGCAGTAACAGACTGTTCATTATGTTTACTTTGTTTCTAGCAATGGCACTCTCTGCCTATATTAAGAGAGTTTACAAAGAGTTTACAATACTCTTTGGTAATCCAATTTGCAATTTCTTTGAAAAGAAGTATCTGTTGAAGTATGCATGATAACTGTATTGATCTGTTATCTTGTCCATATGGGACAAATATGAGTGTAGTATGTGAAACTTTCTTCTTTTTGTTTACAGATCTTTGATCATTCAGTTAGCGTCCCTTGACTTCATATTTTTAGTTAAGGCAGAAGGTAGTCTCAGTTAGATTTATCCCTTACATTTTTTTAATTTGGTACAGCTAGCTAGCCTATGTTGGACCAAATCACCATTTATCATAGGAGCCAAACCCCTCCTGGTCTATTAGGCACTCTCATTGTCTTCTGAGAATGAAATAAAGCAAGCAGAACTTTGGTCCACATCCTGAACAGTAACATTTGATTATTTTCCATGCCATGGAGTTTATGATAATAAGCCTTCTACATTTGTTTTGATAATGTAGCCAAGAAACAGAAGTGCTGTCTCTAACATTAGAACCAGGAGTAAAGCAGGAGCAAAGCAGCACTCATTAGCATAGACACCACAGAAATTATAATGCAGTCTCTGGAAGCAATAAAAATGTGGTAATAATTGTGGAAAGAATCTAGGCAAGAGTACAGCTGGGAATATGCCAAACTGACTGTAATTTGGATTGGCAGTTAGTCATATTATCTTGCCAGTCATTGATTACACAGATATTTGAACATTTTTTCTGGTTAATATCAGATTTTGTATGAAAATTGGTATATTTTTTATTTATATTACAACTATTTGAAAGATTTAACTTTTAGCATGGAGGACCCTGAACTAGGTCTCAACATACAATGAGGTGTTGCAAAGGCAAGGAGAAAAAATTTAACTGCTCACAGATATTAAAAATTAGCAAATGAAAAGAAAACAAGAAAAAGTAATGTAATTTTTTTGCAATATGGTGGTTATAGAATGTCTCTCTTGAGTAGCAGCCATTAGCACTGTTGCTTGGCACTAACTGCTAACTAGATACAGGAATAAACATGTAGGAAAAAAGGTCTAAAGAAAAGGAGGGGGAACTAGATGACAATACAATGGGTGAAGAGAAATGGGGGAAAGAAAAGGGAAGGTAAAAGATAAGATAAAAGAATGAAAATGAAGAAAATTAGAAGGAAGTGTTCAGCAAAAGAATAGAAATAATAAAAGCTGGAAGAAAAAAAGGGGAAGGGGAACACAGGGGAAAGGAAGATGGAGAATAGGATGATTGGGAGAAGTGGTTTGATTCAATGATCTCAGGAGTGTTTTCCAGCGTGAATTATTCCATTATTTCGTAACTTTATATAATTTTGTATGTTATTGTTCTAAATGTTTTTCTCACGTGCAAAGTAATTACTTTTCATTATATGAAATTAAAGATATAAGGGGGCCTAATGAGGAGTGGAGAATTTTATTTGATTATTAGTCTAGAATTTTTGATCATTGTGATGATCATTTTGTTGCCATGCCAGAGAACTTGGAAGGGTGACAGCTTCCTATCGAGTCTTGTGGGATTTCTGAGACAGCTGGAGTACTACTGAACAAAACTCCCTGAGGTATGGGGAGGTTCATCATGATGAGGATTAAGCTGAGAGAATTGGGTGCTTTGGCTCATCAAATTGTAAAAATATTATTGCTCTTTCTGGGAGCAATATTTCCAATCAACCATGGTCATGTGGAAATGACCAAGCTATCTGCTGTCACTTCCTAAGGGTATGATGATACCCTCCAGATCGCTGTCAGTGGCAACCTGGGAAGGGGTTTGATGCTTACAGACACCCCTATTTCTGTCAGTCACTGGCGTGAAAGGAGCAAACAAGGACCAGTACAAGCCTGGCCCAGAGCACCTGAACTCTGACAAGAACTGAACTGAAGTAATCATAGCATGCCTGGCAGGGAGTGATTAAAACAATAAGTACCACTATGAAATTAGAGGCCCTTGGGCATTTTCTCAGCCCCTTGTATCAGTGACAGAAATCTTAGAAAGTGGAATTTGTTCTTTTCTACAGAGTGGTTCCTCATTCCTAAAGACTTAAAGATAAATTAATTTAAAGGGCTACGTAAGGGTCATTTAGAGATTGAAAAATTTTGCAGGGGCATCATATAATAATTTGCCCTCAGACAAACTATGACATTTTTAAAGTTTTTAGGCTTGCTCAAAAGTTTGTCAAACATGTCAAAACACAAGACAAGTGAAGTTATTCAGCGGTGATGCAAAAAATCCAGGCAGATGCCTGGAACAGAGCAAGCACAGATTTATTAAAACTCACCAAAAAAAAGTAGTTTCTTTGTTCAATAAATATTAAAAAAAAAAAAAAAACCCAAACAACAGCATAATCTGCATCCTAGATCTGGATGTAAGTTATCAAACTTTAACATGAAAACTTATTTTTAATACATTAATTAAAATTATATTCATAAGCCTTCTCTGGTTTTCCTTTGAACAAGTGACTGAATCTTACTGGAACTTCATTTAATTTGGATGAAATCTGACCTTGTGAAGACTATGTCATGAAGATGATGTCATAACAAACAGGGCTTGGGTTTGTGGATTACTGTGCTGGCCTTTAAAGAAAATGCAAATCTATAATCTCATCTAATTTTATAGTTAATTTAAATGTCTAACAGTAAAATCCCAGAGAGAACTTCTAGAAGAAAGCAGCAATTTTATCACTTGCAATAAAGCTGTAGGTCCAGCCTTTAACAGAAATATATCTGCTTTCTCATTTTAGAAGTTAATGAAGTGATATAAACAAAGGTGCAGAGCCGATCAAAATCACTCTTCACTTCCAAGAAAAATGAAGCCTTTCCTTAGAGGAATGGCTGAAAATGAAGTCCCATATTCTGGAGGAATCCAGAGTGGTTTTCTAGTGGGGGTGAAAAGGACTCTATCCATACTATATTTACAGAAGGCAAAGGAATCATCTAGAAAGTGAAATTAAATGCTATTTTACTTAACAGCAAAAATATCAATGCAAGGATTTCTTGTTTTCTCTTCATACAATACTCTAAAGGGCACAAATGAGTGCCCAAAGAATTAATTTAATTTAGTTTTTAAACAACATTACTTTGTGAATATATTGTAATTTTGAAAAAGTTTCAAGAGGGAAAGCAAAGACTGTGATGCAAGATTCTATTTATTTGTGGATTCTCTATTCATTTCTACATGACTAAAATGCCTAATGTTCCTGCAAAAAGTGACAACTTGTAACTTTTTTTCACCTCCAACAGAAATGGTGAATTAGGAATAAGTACAAGTTATACCAATGGCAAATTGTTGTCATGGCAGCCTTTCTTTTTAACCAAATTTTTAACTTTTAAATCCTTTGAACAAATATTGAACTGGTGATTTGAACGTAATTGATGTGATTTTTCAGACTGATTACTTCCCTTCTTTTAATGCAGATGTTTTATTGGATGATGTCACTGATGGTACACTCCACAAAGAAGGTCATAGTGTCAAAATTTTAGTCACTATAAACAAAGGCTATAGTCGAGCCAAGGTAAGTGCATTACCCAGAACTGAATTATAGCTCAAGCAAATCTTGGAATATATAGGTCAATGTTTTTTCAGTATTTTGAGCCAGGAACTGAAGGGAAATATTCCATAGATTGCAGCTCTCTTCTCTGTCATCCATGCTCAGTACAGTTAGGCACAGTACACAGACTAATACCATATGGCCTCTTTCTGCCTTTGTGGTGGCTTAGACATTACTAATTCTTAGTTTAATTAATAGTAGCATGTCCCAGGTCTTGCTATCTCTGTTTAAAAGTCATTAAAAATTAGATTGATGCATTGGTCTCCTCAGGGTGCAACTATGAAATTGCTACTGAAAAATTATATTGTCATGTTTTCATGTTCTGTGTTATAAAAAATTTTTAATTCCGTTGCAACTTTTTTTTTAGTCATCTCTTTAAAAACACAGAGGCAATCTAAGAGCAGAACAAGATTCTGTATTCCCTTTGTTATAAAGATGTATCAAAGTAATGCAGTCTATACCTATTTCTGTCACAGAGATAATTACCAAAGTTGTAACCTCTCATTCTAAATAATATTCTTATTCTTCATTAGAAAACTATGACTCTTCATAGAAAGCTAATTAGCACCATTTTTAGTCCAGTTTCTAAAAAATCTCTCTTTGCAGGATCAAAAGCCACATGCATACCTAATAGGATCAATTGGAGTCAGTGGAAAAACAAAATGGGATGTTTTAGATGGTGTAATCAGACGTCTCTTTAAGGTAAGACACTGAAAAATTTGCTTTATTATTATTACAATTTTCTTTTTCTTTTCAGAAAATTTCTGTATTCTTTGAGTTGTCTTGCCAAATTTTTGTTTTGGTTTGATTTTTTTTGATCTATAGCTAACAGCAACCACTATTAAGCTTTATTTTCAATGTCGCAGTACTTTTTTTTTATGATTGTAGGCTGTTTTCCAAATAGCTTTCATTCAATAAATATTTTTATGACTTATGTTTTCATATAATTTCAGGAGTATATTTTTCGAGTGGATCCAACTACTAGCCTGGGTTTAAGCTCTGACTGCATTGCTAGCTATTGTATAGGGGATGTAACTAGAGCCCATAGCCTAGAAGTGCCTGAACTGCTGCCTTGTGGATATCTGGTTGGAGATAATAATATCATCACTGTGAACCTGAAAGGTAAAACCCAAAGAATACCAAAGATACCGTAGAGTTCTACACTGCAGTTCCCTATACTTTTATGTTTATTTTTCTTACACCTGACTTTTCTGCATTGTCTCTACCTTGAGGGCACATTTCTTGCATAAACTGTCTGTAAGACATTGCATCTAAGAATGTCTGTCCTCCCCTGCCTGACTGCCAAATCACACCAAAGTACAGATTTCTAAACAGTGGCAAAAGTCCAACCCCAAAACAGAGATTACAGTGAGAAATACTAATGCTTTATTCAGTTCCACAGGAAAAATTCTATAAATTTCAAAAGCTCTAGGGATTTGCTATTGGAGGGTAGAGGATACCTTCAGGAGGACTTTAAATACATTTATGTGACAACTGGTAACCCTTGTGGCTGTCACTTTGACCTTTTTTTTGTCATCATTGCCAGTAATGTCTGAAACATATATCTTTGCCTCACTGAGCCTTCTCTTCACATTTACTTTGCATCTCTCCCGCTCATCTCAACTCACCATTGCTGTTTAATTTTTTTGTGGAAGGATACCAGTATTTCTACAGTAAAGAAGTCCTTAACAGGGATTTGATTTAGAAGATTTGATTTAAGAGTTATCTTACCTTGCTTTGGGCATAGCACTGATGCCATCAGGTGCTGGGGCAAATAACTGCAATAGCAAGGATAAGGCAGGCCATTTTTCTTTTCTTTTCTTTTATCCCCAGGAGTAGAAGAAAACAGTTTGGACAGTTTTGTGTTTGACACATTAATTCCTAAGCCAATTACCCAACGGTACTTTAATTTACTGATGGAGCATCGCAGAATTATTCTGTCGGGACCCAGTGGCACAGGAAAAACGTATTTAGCCAACAGGCTGGCTGAATATATTATAACTAAATCTGGCAGGAAAAAACCTGAGGATGCAATTGCAACTTTTAACATAGATCACAAGTCAAGCAAGGTAAGTTACAATTGAAAACATAATCTATTGCCCAATTTGTAGTGATGATCCAGAACAGATTCCATTAGTGGGTGTACTCTTTTGCTGTTCAGTTAGCATTTCTTCCTACAAGAATTCAGTCTCCAATCCCAGTGATGTACAGGGACCAGATCTTTCTCTTCCAAACAAACCATTGAAGCACTGTCAAGGAAGTCTCAATTTTTTGTTTCTTGAGGAAACCTGCTTTAAGTATAGATGCAGCGCCCAACACCTATGTAAATTAAATTTTTGAAGTGTCTGTAATTCCTCTGTCAGAAGGTTGGCTATATAGTAATAGTAGTGTAACTTGATTTTTTAATCATGATAACTTCAGCTTTTGTTAGCAAAATTTCAAAGGGGTGATTTGAAATTACTGTTTTGGGTTCAGTTTCTTAATCGGCATTGGGGAGATACAACTGTCATGATTTCTGGTGTGCATCAGTCTGGAAGCTGACCATACTGAAATTGCCTCACGCATCACATCACGTTCCCAGTGATTTACATAGCTCACATTATCAGGTTTCTAGCAGGACTACTGTGCTAGCCACAGATAATAATATTCACCTGGCTGTCCTGAATTGAGTGTACTCCTAACTTGGTTCCTGGGGGCAAAAAAATGAAAGGGTTTGCCCTGAGCTTTCTGATTTGCACAGAACATAATGAATGCTAACATAAGAAGGGAGAGCATACAGATCCCAAAGGGGCAAAAGGACCATTCTGGCAAGAATAATTGCTTTTCACTGTCTTTATACAGAGGATTTGTGATGCCATTTACTTTGGCAGAGAATGTGCTTATAATCTATTGTTATACTATACCCATCTATAAAGAAAATTGTCCCACTAAAGAGCCAGCTTTTGGATTTCTAGTAAATAGCTTGGTCTGTGTGTTTTGGTGTTTCACTGTTGTTTTTGGGATTGGATTGGTTGGGGTTTTTTCTCCTTTCTCTTCTATCAAAATTCATGTAGAATTTTTTGAGTTTGTAATAAAAAAAAAAAAGAAAAAGTAACATTGTCAAATACCAAGGCTGTTTGAATAATATATATGGTATTATTCCATGGTATACACCTATAGTGTTCCCTGAGAGACACTTGATCATAAAAAGGCAAAGAAAAACTTTTCTTGAAATAAAAAAGGTGCATGTTCCCATTGAAGAAGTAAAGATTCTGCTATTCCTGATTCAGAAAATAAATGGCAATAGGAACTTTGTCTAGAATACATTTCCAACCCTGACAAAATTAGATACCTGTAGAGATACAGGTGTAAAACTTGACTAGCCCAAATTCTCACAAGCAGCTGTTGACAAAAATATGAAATTTTTGGATTATAGAAAGCTCTCTTTTACTTCTACACTAAACAGCAGACAGACAGCTGCCAGAAAAGAAGAATTCACACACCAAATTTTTATTATGAGGTTTGATAAAGCATCTCCAAGAAGGCAGGCAGATTTCAGTGAGAGTCCTGAAAGGAGATATCTAAAGGAGTAGTTCAATGCAGCAAAATTGTATGATGGTGTGTTGGGGTTTTGATATGTAAATGTGGCACTCATAAGAATGAAGGTCCAAAAATTAATATGATTATCTCAGCCCATTGGAAATGGCCCATTTTATTGCAATGTATGTTCCTCTGGGTATAAGCTATATTATCAGCAATTTTCTAAGGAATGTATCCCCCAAATCAGAATGCTTCAGTCATTTGCCTTGTGTTTAGCACCTTTGTTTTTTCCTTGCATGTAGCTTCAATGTTGCCCTGTGTAAGCAGCATATTTTTCTGCATGTGCAGATCCAGCTGAGTGATCTACAGAAGAAAAACTCTTTAGCGGTCATGTTATCTTTCTGAAGTTTTTTTTTCCAGTGAAACTGCATCTATGGTGTAATTGGATTAATCTTTCCTGGGCTTGGAGTTTTATTGTGATTTTTTCTTTAATTAATTCTGCTGAAGGATCTGCGACAATATCTAGCAAGCTTAGCTGAGCAATGCAGTGCTGACAACAATGGTGTTGACCTCCCTGTCGTCATAATTCTTGATAACCTCCATCACATCAGTTCACTAAGTGACATCTTCAACGGTTTCCTCAACTGTAAATACAATAAGTGGTAGGTAGTACAGCTTCTCTCTTCTTGCACACAGGTTTTGCAATTAAAACAGTAAAAGCTCCTTGTTATTTAGCAAAATAGAATTTCCCAGTGAAAACTTAGGGTCCCATAGGCCATCTGCAAGGCTTCAATAATTTTAACCCCTCTCAGCCAAGAAGGTAGTTGTCTCCTTTGCTTCATTTACATGATTTCCATGCTTCTCAGTGAGATGTAAATGTACCACAAAACTTAATAATATACTTTATACTTAAGCACTTAATTGAATTATAGTGTTATTCTTTGCACCCTGTTAGATCACATAAGCTCATTAGTAGTGTAAGAACAGCTTACACATTGTAATAGGGGAATTTGGGATAAACCGTGCCATAGAGAAGCAGCTGTGAATCTAGCAGATTTGCCTGTCCCACAGTTTTCCTGCAGCAGTGCAGAAGTATAAAGTTGGCTGACTGTCCATTCTTCTCAAGCAAGAGTAAAAATAATGTTTTCAAGAACTTTTACTGGCCTATAATGTTGGTTATTTCTGCTGTAAAAGTAATACCATAGGGTCTTCCCTTCATAAAATCATTGCATGCAATGTCTTACTCATGAGATTCACTGGCTTTTGAAATTAAAAAGTTAAGTGTACTGCCAAATTATTAATTACATTAAGACAGAACTGCTTTATTTATTTCTTCATTACAGATGGGAACTAGTAAACTACATATGTGCAAGAGGGAAATCATACAGGAATAAACATTTTTAAAATTGTACCTCAGAAATATTTTAAATGTATGACTATAGTAAACCCAGACTCTTTTGAAATTGCCCTAGTACGGATAGTAAAAAGGAAAATACTCTGAATATTTGAATGAATTCTTCCTCAAAAAATCCTACTGCTTTTATATTTCCAGTCCCTATATTATTGGAACCATGAACCAAGGAGTTTCTTCTTCACCAAATCTGGAGATGCATCACAATTTCAGGTACATTCTCTCTTTATTTACTGTGGCCATGTTTGCACAGTTCCCTGCTTCTAAGCCCAGTTCTTTGACAAATATTGATCTTGTGTCTCATCACAGTAAAGCATTTCAGTTTCAGTGTCTCTCCTCTGTTGATGGGTCTTGGAATGGTGTTGGGGAATGGTAAAAGAAATAAGATACTGTCTGGCGCCTCTAGCAAGTTGCTGAAGATGATTGCATTCCTGCATTTCTTCTGTCTTCAGCAGTGTCTTGAATTCCTGCTGAAACCTGAAATGGCTGCATTGAAACAGTGAACAGTAATGAGGTTTATTGGAGCAGTGTTACACTTGCTGACTAATGAGACTCTATGACATTACTTTCATCTATATGTTTAAGGGGAAATAATTTGCTTGACATTTCTCTCTTCTACCCAGGTGGGTGCTATGTGCTAATCACACAGAGCCTGTTAAGGGTTTCTTAGGAAGATATCTGAGAAGGAAACTGATAGAAACTGAAATAGAAAAGAGCATACGCAATAATGAGCTTATGAAAATCATTGACTGGATCCCCAAAACATGGCATCATCTCAACAGCTTCCTGGAAACACACAGCTCTTCAGATGTAACCATTGGTGAGTCCACTCGTGGAATGGTTTGAAATAAGGATGCAGGCTGAGCATTTTAGGGATTTATATTATATAAATATATTAATATATATATTACATATAAATATATATTTTGTGTGTGTGTGTGAATTTTTTTTTGTGAAAAACATATTATTTTTTTTTAAGTTGCCATGTCTCAATGGGAAGCAAAACATAGGTATGGAAAATAGAAAGTTTAATGAGAGAGTATATATATTTCCTGGTAGTTCTCCCTTTGTTGCTAAATACTTTCAAGTAAAATATCACTCTTTTCTAAACTAAATTTAAAAAAAGATTATCCCGATAGTAACTTTCCTAAGCTTAATTGTTTTCTCCTGCTTTCACACTGCAGTATAATTACAGCAATAAAAACCCTTGGACCTTCAGTCTTTTAATGGAATAATTGTGTTAGCAAAGATGTCAGCTTTTACATAGCTTTGCCATAAAACTTGTAAGTGTTCATCAGGCCCTAAAATTGGACTAAGTGACACTAGTTCATTTTTAATAACAGGAGACTGTTAGCTCCTTTAGTTCTGTTTTAGTATTCTTTTAATTTGAGCTTGTTCCAGTACTGCTCTTTTAATTTTAAGAAGATTAAGAGTGTTTCCTAGTTATACCTGTTCTAATACACAACTTGACTTCTCAGGTCCCCGTCTCTTCCTCCCTTGCCCTATGGATGTTGATGGCTCCAGAGTGTGGTTCACAGACCTTTGGAACTATTCCCTGGTTCCATATCTTCTGGAAGCTGTGAGAGAAGGACTCCAGGTATGTAATTTGTTTCCTAGAAGTTTTTAAAATTGCTTTCAAAGGCTTTCTCTGAGCTGTTTTTAAACAATGCATCCTGGTATGAATGCTGTTGCATTTGCAAGAGGAAAATCTTTGGATGGGTTATAGAAGGCAGTTTCAAATTCCTTTTGACTTGCTCTTACTCTGGTGTATAAATTGGTTTTCTTGCTCCAGCACTAACATACCTTGTATTTTATGAAGAGGGTTTCTTCTCTATGACTGGAGGAAATTGTTTTTGTTTTTTTTTTCCATTGTTTAAAGAGTTTCCAGCATGGCTAAATACAGGTCAGATTGTCTCCCTGAGTCAAGACAGTCTCAGCCTACCCCTGAATGGAACAATTAATAAGCTTTACACTGGTATCAGAAAATAGCTCTTACCACCTACATACATGTGTAGGTACACAGGTTTGTGGGAAAAAGTTTTTGAACAAAGATGTTTTCTTAGAACCATAGAAAGGCTTCAATTGGAAGGGACCTAAAAAATATCTAATTGCTTGCCTTGAACACTTCCAGGGATGGGGCAACAACTTTTCTGGGCAGCTTTTTCCAGTGCCTCACCACACTTACTGTAAAGAATTTCTTCCTATCATCTAATCTAAATCTCTCCTGTTTTAGTTTAAAACCATCTCCCTTGTCCTAACACTATCTGCCCACATTAAAATGTTGTTCCCCCTTATTTTTATAAGCCCCTGGGAGGTTGAATGAGGCTTTCACTGGGAGGATAACTCTCTGGGCTATACCAGAGGAGGTTAGGATTTTGGATAATTTCACATATTTGGAGGAAACATAAATATTTTACATTAACCCATTCTCCCTTTTTTGTATTTCCCCCCCAGTCTTTAATTGGCTTTCTCCCTTTTCCTTTTTTTTTTTTTTTTTTTTTTCATTTGTGCACTGCAATTCCATGTGCTCTAAAAATATGCTTTGTGGAAAGGCATTTTTTCCATACATGCCACCAAAAGATACTACTGTATAGTGCAGGGGGGATTGTTATGGACTAGGCAAAGAACTATGTAAGCAGCTGCAGTTTCTTTATCACCTGTGTTGACACAGTGACATACTGATGCAACATAGGTTTCGAATTCTGCCTTGTTGAATACCTCATGCTTTCTTAAACCTGCTTATCTCTCTGGGAATTATGTTTTTTATGCCTTGTGCAGAATACTGCCAAACATTCGATAGAGCAGCCACAGTGAGATTTACAGCACTTGTTTAGACCAGCTATAAAAATGCAGTGATATTCTTCATACTCATATTTTCCCAAGCATACAGGGTAACTGTTTCAATGAAAACTTCAGTTGTGCAGCAGAAGATGGCAGCATATAGAAGAAAATATATTTGTTTCATGAGCTGTACCAATTTTTAGCTGCTTTGGATGGCTTCCATAGAATAAAGTTATTAATAATAAACAGAAATCCTTTATATCATATAATTAAGTGTTCCTGGAACCAAAGATAGATAAAGATTGCCTTTCTGGTAAGGTACTTTGCAAACTCACTTGTCAGACATAGGATTACAAGCCTTTGTCTAGATTCCAGAAAAGCTTTAGTCATTGTTAATCTCAGATGAAGGGAAGTGCTACAGCCTGGAGTTATCCTTCTACCTCTGAGAAGCATTTCTCTTGTCTTATTTAGGCAGATCCCTTTTGTAGCAGCCTACCCTCAGTGCAGGGCAGAAGCAGTCTGGGTATCTCTATGCCTAATACAGGGAACTTGGCTGCCTAACCTGAAGCTCTGCATTCAGCAAATGCCTAGCAGCAGGTGTTGCAGTGATAACTCATCCTTCTGCCTTTATTACTAAAGTCCTCCCCTGTTACACTCCCTTTAGGAGCGCAGCCCACCTATATCCTCCATGAGTGCTTGCCCTGCCAATAGCATGGTGTTCCTTGGATTGTGTAAAACTGTATGAGGCAGGAGAATTTACGAAAAGCCCATTCCAGTGTATCGCCACAGCTAAAGGAACTCTTTAAAGCAGCTACCAAGGGGCTCTCAGCTAATATGCTGCTTGTGAGCAGCAATAGAGAGAAGGGTGAATTTTATTGAGGGTGCTACCAGATCTCCTAAATTTACAATATTCTCATTCTTCCTCTGTCCTTCCCCCAGATTCATAAGCATTTCATTCTTCATAGTGAGGAAAAATATATCCCTTGTGAAATTCTTCTCTTAACCTTTTGAAAGTTATCCCATTTAGGATGTGGACAGATGTCTGCCTCGGCATCTCATTTTGCTAGGAGAAATGATCAATCTGTACTGTCACCTTCTAATTCACTTCAAACAAAATCCAATTAACTTGAATGCTTTTGATAGGTCTGTGTTAATTTCCCTGATATGCCTTAAGCATATTACCTGGAGGTCTCATTTCACTTTGTATCAAGCACTTGCTGTTGTCTACAAGTGTCTGTAGTTATGGAGCATTTTCCAACTTGCAGCCACTCTGTGTATTGAAGGATCATTATTGGAGATGATCCGATCTCCTTAAGGTCTTATTTTACCTGAATACTGAGAACATCTGAAAGCAAATCTCTTTCTAAAATGGTTTTGATGTTTGTGATGACTTTTTTTTTTCTGCTGGTACTAAAAACTCTGTAAAATACTTACCTGTCTTATATCCATAATGTAGATGTACGGTAAGAGAGCTCCCTGGGAGGATCCCTCCAAGTGGGTAGCTGATACCTATCCATGGAGCTCTGCAACTCTACAGCATGAGTGGCCATCACTACTTCAGTTAAGACCTGAAGATGTTGGTTATGAAGGTTATGCATCAGCAAAAGAAGGAACCACCTCTAAGCATGTTCCACAGACTGATACAGAGGGGGATCCCTTGGTAAGAATCAAATTTTTGGGAAAAGGCTTTTCAGTATATACTTTACTTTCACATGTTAAATTGTACACTGTGCAGTAAAAAAGTACTGTGCACCTGTTCCAGAACAGGCTTTTAAAATGAATCCTCCTATAATTTATGAAAATGTTGAAAATGAAAGGAAGCAGGAGGGCATGTATCACCAACACATTAATATGTCCTTACATTGTTTGTATTTCCCATCTGCCCAGATGTATTTGATATCTGGTACCATGTATCAGGTCTTCATCATTATATTGTTTGGGAATAATAATAATAATTATTATTATTATATACAAATATATAATTAATAAGCTTCTCATGAAAACATATTTCTTCATCAGGCAGTTTTTCATCTACATTATAAAAATTAAGGACTGCGATATTCACATTATCTGACTTACCTATCATAGAGAATTTAGTGAAAACAGAAATTAACCATCCTCCCATTTCTCATAATATTTTGAGATAACTGATGACTGTATGATAATCCTAATGTAGAAGGAATGCAAGTGTTGTGGCATTAAATGATAAGAAGTTGATTTCCCTCAATGCCACATACTGTTTTATTTAAATATGATCCCAGACATTCAGGTTTACCATTGCCTCCTCTGATAATGGACTATTAAAATGCATATGTTGAACTGCTATTCTTGTGTAGTGCTTTTTCTGTGGACTGCCTTTATCATAATTCAAAATACATTTTAGAGAACTGTATTTCTAGAATATGCTGTATTTCTAGAATTTCCCCTTGGAAAGGGGAATTTCTCAGAGGAAAATGCACTTAACTCTTAACTGTGTTAAGAAAATGGTTCCTCAGCCTCAGTGTTTCATTTTCAAAAACAGACAGCGTCCTGAACAAGTGTAGAAAATCATCTTATTTGAATTTCTCTTCAGTTCCATAAGCTTCCAGGTGATATTTTGGCCCTGTGAGTTGAGCTTCCAGTGAGTGTGTTGGACAGGCTTCCAGCACAGCATAATCTCCATTATGGTGAAAGCTCAGGCTATGGGCAGCCTGAGTTCAGTTTCCTGTCATCCCTGCTCCCTGCACACTCTGGTCAGCATCTGTACTTGAGTAAACATCAGAAGCTTGGAAGTTGTGACTGGAGGGTTTGCCCCTGCCTCCAATGGAGCTCATGGGTAGACAGACCCTGGACTTGTGGAAACAGGACACATCTCATGCAGGATGTGTTGAACACTCACCACAGGTATCCTGTGTCTACAAGCATGGATACCAGTTAAAGCTTCAGCAAAAGCTATGCAAAAGTGTTGAACACTGTTCAGTGCCTGGAGAAACTTCACCATGCAAGTTAAAAGCATGGAGATGTAAGGATTTCTGAACAAACTGGAAATGGGGGCTTAAAACACAAACTGCTAGGAATACATCTTTGGCTTTGGTTTTTCTTTGCCTGCTTTTTATAGCGACAGTGCATTTGCTCCTTGGAAAACAGTGAAGTACTGTTGACATTGCTTGCAGTCTTTAGCATGCTGGCAGAAGTGGATGCTTTATAAATAAAATCCTGACCATTATATAGTCAGGCATCAAGCATCCAAGTAATTTTCTGGATCTTAGTGCTGCTATTTGATTATTTTCAAATGGTTTTCAGGTACCAGTTATTGCTAAATTATAGTGGGCTCTACTCTCCTGGGTAGGAGGATCTGTTGCTGTTTTGCTCCTGAGGGCAGCCCCTCAACAGCAGATTGGACTCATTTATGAAGCAGATGACATCAGTCCACCCCTCTCTCATTCCCTCCCCATCTTTCTCTTGTAGAGGGGGTATGTTACTGTGATTATGTTTTCAGTTGCTTTTCCAGTGTAATACATCTACACCATCCAAAAATTATCTGGAAGCTTGACTGTCTCCAAATACGGGCCCAGATGTCTAGCTGAGATTTGGCTTCCTTTCTCTGCGGTGTTGCAGCTGCAGCTGGCCTCACCCCTGAATTAAAGAGAGTTATCAGGCAGCTCCATTGTATCCTTCTTTGGACCTTTAGACTTTTATTTAAAAACCAGAAGGCAATGAAAAGAGTGTCAGTAGGAGCTGCTGACACCCTGCCCTTTCTGAAATCCTTTTGTACGGTTCCTCCTCTAGGTACCAGCACACCACATACAGCTTAATTAAATTTTAACACGGTCATTGCGGTTTTAAATGAGAAGAGATTATGTAAACATTGCTTTCTTCTTTCAGATGAATATGCTAATGAGGCTTCAAGAGGCAGCCAACTATTCGAGCGCACAGAGCTGTGACAGTGATAGCACCAGCCACCATGACGACATTTTGGATTCATCCCTTGAATCAACTCTCTGAAAGGGACAAATCTTGCTGTAGGATAATGGTAATATCTGTTTCCACTAGACCACTGCCAGTATTAAAGCAGCACACCGAGGTCTCTCAGTAAGAATGGTGTGTTGTAGGGAGGCAGGAGACCTAACTCTGCAAAGTCAGGAAGAAAAATTGAAGTGGAAAGCTTGAATTAGTTTAATTTCAAGGCATTTCAATACCTATGGAGCCGAGTGAGACTCCATTTGTCAACTGGAAAGTGCCCTAGACCAAGGGCATCTGAGCAGATTGCACACATGTTAGCCAAACTGGAATATTTTTTTCCCTTATCCTCTTTCTGTCTCTCTGTGTTTCTCTGTACAAGTTTACAGTGAAACTTCCTTGGATTTTTTTTTTCCTTTATTTTATCCTGAGATGCTGCATGAACAATGCAGTCTTCTAATTATCTTCTAACCTCTGTTGTGCCACATGGTGCTGGTCACAGGACGGCAGTGGTGTTTGTATTATACACTACCGCCCATTCCAAAATGAGTAAAAGATGATAGTAACTCAGAAAGCACAAACAGTATTGTGCAATCACCAGAAAACATGACTGTGATATGCTGGATAAGTGCCAATTTAATTCTAACTGCCATGGTCACGGTGATGCGCTCCATAAAGTTTTTAGTACACAAGTCACAGATTTTATAAAGTTATTTTTACCACAAGGGTCTTTTTTAACCGCCTGCCCACTCCTTAACAACAGTTTTCTACCAATTATTAACAAACACTGATTAAAGGCTTTTTAGGGCTTCATTTGTTTGAGCCTTTTCAGTGAAAGAAGGAACATTTCTTATGGTGCTGTCTCACTGCCTTAAAATAGATTTCTAGAACAGTTTTACAGTTGGTTTAATTCCTAAACCATTGGTAATTTACACTGTTTTTTTCTTCATTTACTAACAAGAAAACATCAGTTAACATAGTAGCCTCATATCTGTATATCACAATTTTTTAAAGTAATGGATACGAGAAAGAACAGTTGCTATATAATATTTTTATCTTGTGAATAGATTTCTCTGCCTACCCTCAGAAGTACACAAGGAACCCAAACCCACTTTCACTGCCACTTAAATGCTGACAAAATCGGCTCAAATCCATTTGGTCCCATGGAATGGAATTTTTGGGAGGATAGATGTTTTGAATACTTATCCAGCAGAGCTGGATGCACTTGATGCAGCATGAGCACAAATATATGGGTTTGTTTGTTTTTTTTTTCCTTTTTCTAGTTTCAGCATGTTGTTTTGATTGCTATAGTTGTACATGAAGAATTCAGCATAAAAGAACACTGAAGCAGTGATGTCCACTGTGGAAGAGGAAGAGTTTATACTGTAAAAGTGGGTTGGTTTTGCACAGTCTACTGGGTGGGTATTGTAAATATAGAGAAAAAGAAAAAAAAAAAAAAAAAAAGAAAAAAATCCTTGCACAAATCAAATCAAAAACAAACAAAAATATTGTATTTTATTCTGTTGGTGTTAAGAGATGTTTCACTTGCTGAGATTTCCTGTATGTTGCAAACAAATACAGAATGCAAAACCTAAAAGCTGTTATTACCTGGTGTGTTTGTCCTGTACTTACAGCTGTTACGACTATGCAGGAGCTATCAATGCTACAGTTAGCACACTTCAATATCTGTATGAAACCAATACATTTTTGGGGGAAAAGTCTGAAAATGTTTGAAGTTCATATGTCACAGCAGGCTACAACCTGACTGCATCTGGACTGCTCAGAGTAACTGGAAAAACTTTTACCACCAGAACCATGGTTAAAATAGATGCACGTGAACAAGAAGGTACCTAAGGGCTCTGGCATTGTGTAGTCACATACTGTACACCTCCATGGATGTTACCTTCAGGTGTATCTGGTGCTATTCACTCCTCGTGGCCACTCCGTGGCCACCTGCTGTAACTTAAAGAAATCAATGCAGTTTCCAAATGGCACTGAGCTGCATCACTGAATCTAGAGGTTCCTACACGGTGCTATTGCCCTATAAAACTGAATTTATGCATGTAGGATTCAGTCTGACCAACATCGTGCCCCCCAAACCTGGATCAATTTCTGATGCAAAATGTCAGTTCATACACCTTGACTGACTCAAAGAACTAAAGCAAAGCTGCTCTTTCTTGTACCTGTGCTCTGAGCAAACCTGCAAATCTTTTCCTGCCATATTTAGCTCACAAACACACAATATTATATATACAAAACTTCCTGCAATACATCTCAGTGAGTCCACCTAGTTTACAACTCAGAAATTGTTTGTGAAACATTTGTCTGTACACATTTTATATTTTGTACATTTTTGATGTAACATATCTTGTAAATAGACAGAAACAGTGAAATAAATCATCTTAAATTTTTTGTAGTCTTTGTAAAACCCTAATAATAAGTATTTGGTGTCATCGGACTTAACTGGATGATGTATTTTCTATTGGTTTATTGTTCCTCTAGCTTGTAAACCAGCTTGCGTATTTTTTTTTTTTTTTTTTTGTGTTTTTGCTCTCTTTTTTTTTTTTTTTTTTTCTTTTTTTTTTTTTTTTTTTTGCAGGTGTGCACACTGTATCTGTCTAAATTATTACTTTACCATTAAAGTGGAATTATTTATTGAAAACACAGTCTGATGTTTTTGCAGTCAGGACTACTTAACAGATACTATTTCAAATATATTAATATGAAAACAAAATTACATACTGAAGGATGTGATTCTTCTGTATTCAGCACAACTAATCTCAGTAGAAACAAAATTAAGTACTGTTTCCATTTCCAATGATTCAGTAGGCTTTTCATGACAAAAGAATCTATCCAAAACCAGTGAAGTATAATGCCTTATTTTGAAACTCAAAGAACTTAGAACTTCTTCCTCAGCAGGTATACGTCAGTATATTTGATAGAATTCAAACAAAGTATAATTGTCTTAGTCACCTAATCATAGACTTTGAGGTTGGAAGAGATCATTATCCTCCTGCAAGTTGCAGCACCTCAGTTGTAAGTCTCAGCAGCCGGTCTGTAATGCCTCCTGGAAGTGCAATATCCCAAGAAGGACCTTTAGACACATGGGTACAGAGTGGAAGATTCATCACCTCATCAAAGATGTGGGTAATTATTCACTGGGTGGTTTGGGCTTTTTTTAAGGGCTTTATTTGCAGTTAAATCTTATATATCAATTTTTCAAGAGAATAATATCCCATACTGTTCTTTGTTATTCCCTTTCTTCTTAAACTAAGAAGCCAGTCACAATCAAAATTATCTTTTACAATGGTCTTCTTTGCTTGTCTTTGGATAAGACAGGCAGCTTGCTCATTCCTAGCTTTTCACAATAAGCTGTGCCTTTCAGGCCTCAGCATGTTTATTGCAGGACTTTATGACTATGTGGTTTATCAGATAGTCCACTCTGAAATGTGGGTATGAGAGTTGCACACAGCATTCCTGTCGTGGTTTTACATTTGCTATAAACAGAGCTAATAATCACCTTCCTACTCCCACTTCATATTTTCCGTGCTTAGGCTTCAGGGCTGACATTCACTCTGTAATTGCATCATCCCACTGCAAACTCATGTTCAGTTAATTATCTACCAAGACCCTGACTTCTTTTCATGTTCTGTCATTTTGAAATACTTAGTCCAATCCTGTCTATATAAACTATGCTCTTTCTTCCTTAGATATATGAGTGCAAATTTATCTGTATTAAAACAAGATATTAAAATCAGCCCACCCTACTAAATTATTAATTCTCTACAGTTATCATCTGTCTATTCTACAACTTCAGCAGTTTCCATAATTTCCAAAACCTGTATTGTCATTTTACTTTGTCTTTCAATTTGTACATAAAGGTAATAAGTTATGATTTGTCAAGAGCAGAGCTCTGTTCAATCTTGATGGGACCTTCCATGAAGTTTTCCTGCTTACAGCTACTCCTGACATGGGTATATTTGTATTTCAGTTAATGTGGATATAAGCATACAAAGGCGTGTGTATATAATATTACAGGAAATACACGATGAGTTACATGGCTTCTGCATCAGTGTAGGTCTCCAAGAATGGATTAGATTCCTTTCTGCTGAAAATTACATATGTAGAGATTATCTTCCACAGAAAAACGACTAGACTAGGGTGATCTTAGTGTGCCTTTCCTATAATTCAGTGCTGCAGTCTTTGTATGTTGTCCAGCTGCCATTACTTAAGGGAAATGGTATGAAATTTAATTGTTAAACTCATTCTATGTCTCCTGTCTCAGCTGGAGATCTGCTTGGTGAATGCCCAGGTTCCCATGACAGGAGTGGGATAGTGTAGCCCCAGAAATAAGTGTTTTTAGCTAAGTACTTGAGGCATTACTCTTCCTTAAAAGAACTCATTTTTTATTGCTGTCATTAACTAACTACAGTGTTTCTCAGCACACACTTTTTCTTGATAACTGAATAATGTCACACAAATAAAATGCTACCACTAAGTTTGGCAATGCAAGAGCTCCAGATGCACTGTCATGGGAGAAATGTAATACTGGTAATAGTACTAGTAGCAGAAAATAGAATCTGTCATGAAAGATAAATTAACTAAAGCCAAGGCCATGTGACTTTGCCTTTATACACTAAACTGCATTTACTATTCTTTGTTCAGTTGCAGCCTTAAACAAATGCTGATAAATAGCAATGAGACAGCACACTGAATAATCATGTCTTTAGTAAAAAATTTCATAAATGAAATAATATTTCACCTTTGTTAGTGCATTTACTTATTTTTCCAGCAGTTTTTGTTAAATTAGATTATACAATTTAGGAAACTTAAATGCATCTTGACAATTAAATGCCAAACCTGGAAGAAAAGACACCTGGTAACAAAATAAAGCATTTATGTGATGACACATAATCAGCACTAATAATTTTATCATGCCATATATGGATGGCTCTGACAGAACAGAGAAGCAGATGAAACACATATTACCTGTACAATGAAAGCCCAAGGACTTAGTGAATGAAAAAGTAATTTAAATTAGTGAACTGTATTTTAGCACTGATAATTCAATATACCTTAAATATGTCATGCTGCACTCTGCAAGTGCAGTGAAAAGACATCTGAAAACAGACTCTTCAGCGCAGGTAAGCTGTTCCACTCATGCAGAACACATTCCAGAAAGAGATATGGCTTCTGTACAGCAATCCCTGAGCTATCAGACATAGTTCAGTGGCAGAATGAATAATTTAGCTCCATCATTACCACAGTCTTCATCTAATGCCATGATCTTTAGTATACTCTGTCCCTGCTTTTGCTGGGTCAAGCTAGTGGCACTGTTTTGAACTAAGGGTACTGACTCTTCATTGTGGTTGTGCAAAGTCACACTGGAGGCAGAATTTTCATCTTAACTGAACCAACATTACAATGTAAAAGTATTTTTCATCTAGAGGAAATAAGAAACCTAAAAGCTATATAAGAAAACCTTGTCTCATTAATAATTACTCATTACTACTTAATGTCTTTATGTTACTGCTTTTCTACAGTCAGTGTGTCTCAAATACTTTATAAATAGTTTTCTTTTAAAAATAAATTATGTTTCTGAGTATAAAATTATACTGCTTGTTTGAAAGCTGTTATATACCTTGTATCAATCTACCAGCCTGTTTAACAAACTGTGTCCACATGCAGTAAATTTCATCTCTAGCTTAAGGGTCTCTGGGGTTAAATAACATGTTTAGTCTTGCTATGTGTTCTGCGTAAGTAATGTTCTTTAATTTCTGTCCTGAATATAGGGTTAAGCATGTGAAGTGCTTCACTAATTTCAACTTCAGTGCCTACAATTTATTCCTCCATAAACCATCATCTTCAGAGAATAAGATGGTCAACTAACTGCTTCAAGATTCAGCTGAGCATTGTAGCAACTGTGCAGAGTATTACACTCAAGAATTACAATGTAATTGCATGCTTAGGCACAGCATTCAGTGGTTTGCCATTTTGCCAATTGTAGTGTTGAATAAAACCTTCAGACCGTGTTGGTAATCAGAATGGAGGGAGGCCTCCTCTTTTTCTGGAGTGGAGCAGCTGCTGGCAATAAAGCCTAACTGCTTATTTTTAGCTACAAGACAACAGAGAGGTTACTCTACCTTGAGAAAGACAGACAAGCTACAGCATGATGTTACAGGGCATGCTGGAAGAAGTGGTTCATACATAAAAAATATCACCATCATTCATCTGTTACCATTCCTTGATAAGTCAGGTAACTTTTTTAACTAATAATAATATTTTCTTTCCAGATGTCAAAGATATTAGTGGGGGTGGGGTCTGAACTAAGCAGTAGTCAAAATGCGAAATAAAAGACTGAAATTCAGTGTGAACTTCAGAACAAATACCCAGGCTTGAAGGGTTGTTATATTGAAACTCCCTGCTGAATTCTT